AAATGAATAGGATATTGTGTGTCAATTATATTTCAGTTTTTAAAAAATGGAAAGAAAAGGAAGACTTCAGAGCAAAGAAAATTATTAGGGATAAAGAGAACCACTATACAGCAATAAAAGGGTCACTTCACCAGGAAGACATAATAACTGTAAATGTGAATGCTCCTAATAAAAGAGCTTCAAAATGTAGGGTTGGACACAAATAACACCCTTTTTTATTACTAAATCATAAGCATGGAATTCTGTAACATAACAATATCACACTCAAGCACACCATATGACGTTTTAGGTGAAATGTTCAAATTAAAACTATAAATCATTACACCCATATTATTGCCCTACCAACCACATTCAAGCAGGCCTTACTTCTGCTCGACCCTGTACATGAAGCAAAAACTGTCAGATCTGAAAGGAGAAGTAGATTCACAATTATAGCTGCAGACATAGATACTCCTTTCTCAGTAATAAATAGAACTAGTAGACAGAAAATAAGCAAAGATACAGAAGAACTGACGAGCAGTATCAACCAACTAGGTCCAACTGACATTTATAGAACACTCTACCTACCAAGTCAGATTCTATACTAACTGTGTCATAAAACAAACCTTAAGTAAATTTAAAAGAACCAAAATCATTTAAAGTATGTTCTTTAATGACACAAATGAGAAATAAACTACAGAAAAAGAATTAGGGAAATCTCCCCTGGAGATTAAATAACATACTTCTAAATAATCTTTCCATAGGCCAAGGAGGAAGTCTTAAGGAAAATTAGAAAATATTTTGAATGGAACAGAAGTGAAAATATAACATATCAAAATTTGTGCAATGCAACTAAAGCAGTTTTTAGAGGAAAATATATACCATTAAGAATTTATACTAGAAAAGAAGGAAGGTCTCATATCAATTAAGCTTCTACCTTAATAAAACTAGAAAAATAAAAGCAAAATAAATCCAAAGAAAGCCAAAAGAAGGAAATAAATATCAGAGCAGAAATCAATAAAATGGAAAAAAGAAAAACAAAAGAGAAAAATCAATGAAACTGGAAGCTGGGTCTTTGAAGAAACCAATAAAATTATTTAACCTCTAATACTACCAAAAAGAAAAAAACTAGAAGACATAAATTACTAGTATCTGGAATGAAAGAAGGGTTATTACTATGGACTTAGACAATGAAAAGATAAATAAGAGAATATTGCAAACAACTCTACACACATAATCATTAATTTAGATGAAATGGAATAATTCCTTGCAAACCACAATTGCCAAAATCACAGTAAATTAAATAGGTAACTGAATAGCTCTACAACTATTTAAAAATTGAATTCATAGTTTAAAATCTTCCAAAATACAAATCTCCAGATCCAGATGGTTTTATATGTGAATTCTACCAAACTTTTAAAAAAGAAATAACACCACTTCTACACAGTCTTTTCCAAGAAAAATAAAATGGTAGGAGACACTTTCCAAGGTATTTATATTTTACCGATACCAAAACCAGAAAGACAGTACAAGAAAAGACAAATATAGACCAATATTCCTCATGAACACAGATGCAAAAATCCTAAACAAAATATTAGCAAAAATGCTTAACATCATTAGTTATTTGGAAAATGAAAATCAAAACCACGAGATGTCACTTCACATTCGCTAGGATTGCTATAATCAAAAAAAGGTCAATAACAAAAGTGTTGGCAAGGGTATAGAGAAATTGGAACCCTCATATGTTACTAGTAGAAATGTAAAATGATGCAGCTACTTTCCCTCAAAAGTAAAACATAGAATTATATGATATCTCTATGATAAAAATATGGTATCATATGATAAATCAGCAGTTGCACTCCTGGGTATAAATCCCAGAAAGTAAAAACATATACATACAAAAATGTATACACTAATATTCATAACAGAATTATTAATAATTATCAAAAAGTGGAAAACCCATATATCTACCAACTGACAAATGGATAAACAAGATGTATAGCCACATAATGTAATATTAATTTGGCCATTAAAAGAAATGAAGTACAGATACATTTTACAACATAGATAAACCTAACAACATTATGCTAAGGGAAAAAAAGGCAGATGAAAAAGGCCAGAGACAGAATGTGAACTAGCAGTGGTCACCAGGAGTTGCAGGGAGGAAGGAATGGGGAGTGATTGCTAGTGAGTATGAGGTTTCTTTTTGATGATGAAAATGTTCTAAAATTCTATAATGGTCATGGTTGCATAATACTGTGAATATACTAAAAGCCATGAATTGAACACTTTAAAAAGGATGAACTTTATGCTATGTGAATTCTATTTCAATAAAGCTGTAAAATTATATTAGCAAACTGAAGCCAGTGATACATAAAAAGAATAATACACCATCGCAAAGTTAAGTTTATTCTGGAAATGCAAAGCTCGTTAAAATTCAAAAATCAATTGGTATAATCCACCATATTAACAGTCTAAAGAAGAAAAATCTCATGATCCAATCAATCAATTTATAAAAGGAATTTAATATTCAACATACTTTTATGATTTAAAAAAATCCACAAAACTCTCAGCAAACCAGAAATAGAAATATCCCCAACCTGACAAAAATTACCTGCACGCACACACACCTAAGTACCCCCCCGCCCCCCACACACAAAACATGCATAACTAACATACTTTGTGGTCAAAGAGTGAATGCTTTCCCCCTTGCATTGGGGACAGATGATAAAGAGAGAAATGAAACTTTTCCTATTTGCAGACAACATGATTGGGTAGAAAATCCCAAGGAATCTACAGAAAAACAAATTCCTAGAATAAATTTGTGAGTTTAGCAAGGACTCAGGATACAAAGTTAACCTACAAAGGTCAACGGTAGTAATAGCAAAATTATAGAGATGGGGAACAGATTAGTGGTTGTCTGGGGCTAGGGAGGGGGCTATGAATACAAAAGGGCAGCACAAGTGATCTTTGTGATGGGACTGTTTGTTCTGTTCACATGAAGCTACACATGTAATAAAATTGCATAGGACCAAATAACAAACAAGTAAGTGCATGTAAAACTGGTGAAATATGAATAAGGTGAGTGGGTTGTATCAACGTGAGTTTCCAGTGATACCATACTACAATTATGCAAGATGCTACCTTTGGGGGAAACTGGGTAAAGGGCACACAGGATCTCGCTGTTACTTTTTACAGCTTCAGGTGAGCCTACAATTATCTCAAAGAGTAAACAAAAAGTCAAGTGAAAACTCTCATACACTGCTAGTGTGAGTGCACAAAGGTACATCCACTCTGGAAAATAATTTTGTAATTTCTTATAAAGTTGAACATGGACCTACCATATGACCCATCAATCTCACTCCTAGATATTCACCCTAGAGAAATAAAAACTTATATTCATACAATAATTGACACAAGCGTATGTAGCCACTCTGTTTATAATTGTCAAAAACTATAAACAAATGTCCTTCAGGGGATAAATAGATAAATAAGCTATGGTATATCCAAACAGAATAATACTCAGCAATAAATAGCACAGAACCACTGATCCATGTAACAACTTGAACTAATCTCAAAGACATTACACTAAGGGAGATGAGCCAGACTCCAAGAGGTTACATACTATGTGATCCCACTTACATGACAAGAGAGAAATAAAACTACATTCATGAGGAAGAGTGGTTGCCCGGAGTCAGGATGGGGCAAGTGTGTGACTCAGAAGGGGCAGCACAAAGCAGTTTCTTGGGTGGTGGTACTCTGGGCACCCCGCTGTGGCGGTGGTCACGGGACTCTGCATGCGTGTCAGAACTGATAGAACTGTGCACCACCATGAAAATGTCAATTTTTATGTATATTAATTTAAAAAATAGTAAATTTTTAAAGGCAATATGACACTTAAATCTTATAGTTAATGCATTCAAAGAGGTCATTTAGAATTCTGTTTGTAGCACAACAGTATTTTAGAGAGTACCACAGGCTTCATTTTACAGTATACTATGGAGTTTACAGAGCATTACATGAAAATTTCATAACAAACTTCAAGTAAGAAAAAAGAAAAACAATAGTTTTAATGTAGAAAAAAGTTCAGTAAACACCAAGTAAAAGAACATTTATTTTAGTGACTTTACTTGAATTCTAGTAGCAGACAATATAGTAATTTTTTAACATAAGAAACACTTAGTTTTGCTGACACATGAATGGTGGTTATAATAATCGTTAAATAGTAAATAAAAAGGTTAAATGACCTATAAATAGACTGAAAGCCACTCAGATAATTTAAAACATAGATGAACTTTGTAACTCTTCAATTAAAATATTAGATTAAAAACCATGGCACAGTGTCAAATCAAGAATGATAGGAATTTGAATTAAATTATTGCCTGTGGAAAAATAAGTGTTAATTATTAATTAATCCCATAAATTTTAGATAAGTAATCAAACATAAAATAGCCTTTTAATAACATCCTTGAATGTTTCTTGAAGGCATATAGTATTTAAAAAATGTATTCTAAATGCCACATTCTAGTCAGGGAAATGGTAAATTCTATACATTCAAGTCAGCTAAATTAAAATATCAGTTAACTAGCCCTGGCTCAGTTGGTTGGAGTGTTGTCCTGTGAAATGAAAGGCCTTGGGTTCAATTCCCAGTAAGGGCACATGCCTGGGTTTCTGGTTTGGTCTCAGTCAGGGCACGTGCGAGAGGCAACCTATTGATGTTTCTCTCTCACATCGATGTTTCTCTCCCTCTCTCTCTCCCTTCTGCTCTCTCTAAAATCATTAAGCATGTCCTCAGGTGAAGATAAAAAAATATTACTTAGCTATAATTCAGTATTTCTGTAAGCATATAAGTTTCCAGTTCTGGCTATGATTATTCTGAACTTACAAAGAAGAAATGGGAGGTTAACCCGCTTATGAAATGGATCAGATGTTCGGCTGCTTCCAGACAGCGGCTGCTTTAAATCAAACAATCTATACCGAAATTTCAGTGATGACATAAATCTTCATTTTTTGGATTTCCTTTATATTTTATAGAACATTGGTCCCACTGTAGCTATAATATCTGCATAGGGGGCACACTGGCTCAGCTCAATAGCCCGCTGTTTTTTCAGGACAAGAAAGCTATAAAATCTGGCAGCAGTTTGTTTTCGGTCACTATTTCTGCAGAGAGTCATCAGACTAAAGCATTTCATTCCTGTCTTGTTGGATTCCTGGGAAAATAATTAGAAAAGAGGAAAGGAAAGGGAAATAAGATAATTAAAAGCAGAGCAGGTGGATGCATAATGAACAACAAAATATTGACATTTTTGATAAGTGACTGTGAAATCCTTCAATGGAAAAATGCAAATGACTCATTAATAAGCTTAAAAGCCATATAGGTCATTGAGTACAAGCTTGGTTCATTGAGAAAATGCATGCAAAAGCACTCTAAAGTGTTATGAAAATTTTTAATGTGTTGTACAAATGTTAGGTCTTTAAAAACATACATGTTAAACTAAATGTAATGTGGTATCCTCGATGGGATCCTATAACAGAAAAGAAAAAAAACATTTAAAAAAATCAAGAAATCTGACCAAAGTATGGGCTTTAGTTAATTAAAATGTTTCAATATTGGTTTGCCAATAGTGACAAATGTACCATACGAATGCAAGATGTGACTAATGTGGGAAATTGGCTATGGGGTATATGAGAATTCACTCTGCTGTCTTCACAATGTTTCTGTAAATCTAAAACTATTCTAATAAAAATTTATTTTAAAAAATAAATACAAATTTAGAAAATTGATGTTAACATAAATTGCTCCAAATAGTTTAGACCTGTAGGGAGAAAAAAATCCACAGGACTTTGGGAGGCTTAAATACAATGGAGATTATGAGCCTATTAGGATTCTTTTCCTTAAAGGCACTGGGGGGTGGAGGTGACTATAAAACTTTAGTGTTGAATATAGAATTATATTTGTACATCTCAGTGACAGGGCAGTGTGACTTTATAAACATCTCTCAGTTTCTTTGCACAGGTTAAAAAGATGTTGGATTCACCACAGGGTACCTATGAACCTACTAGAAAAAGTTGAGGTCCAATAAAGTATTGGATTATGGATGACGATAACTCCTTTTATGAAGATTAGTACTCAGAATTAGAAGTATAGTTCTTCAGTTACAATACTGTGATAAATACCAGCCAGTATCCCTGTGAGTACTGTACTCCTTGGAAAGTTGTGCAGCATTTTCAGAAATGAGATATACAAGTTTTTTTCTGCCAGTTCATAACATTTAATGAATTAATAAATTAAATACTTTATGATATTTTATATCAACCAAATGAGTGGCCCAGCCTTGGCAACCATTCAGAGATGGCGTGACAAGCCTTCATTTATTCCTACTCCTGAGGAAATACGATGCCTCCCCCAACAGATGTGGGTTGGGTGGCTTTTTCCCCAACAGATGTGGCAAGGGAGTAGGGATAGCCCTTTTAATTTCAAGAATCCTTTTGAAAAACACTCTGGGCAGACAAATATGCAAGACTGAACACATGTGTTTATTCTGTTCCCTCCAAAATCACTTCTAAAATGAAGAAAAAGAAATAAAACATGACAAAGAAAGGAGATAAAGACAAAGAAAGGGGAAGACTAACTGACTTAGCAGAGTGGACAAAGCTGAAACCTAAGTGCCAACAGGGAGGAAAGCCAACAAAAAGGAAACCAATTTGAGCTACAGAACCTTTGGAAAGCTCAGGAATTAGAGGAAACAGTATATGATAAGCTGGAGATACGGGGTAAAGCAGAAAACGGGAGAATTTCTTGAAGGCCTACTTGTGAGCACTCAGACCCTCAGGTGCCCTCCACCACTTCACTGAACCAAGACATGGCTGCTCACATAAACTAGCAGGCTATTTCCCTGGGAGAGAGCAGGGGCAGTCCTTCCAATTTCAAGAATCGTGTCGAAAAATACCCCAAGGGGACAAATGTACAAGGTTGAAGGTGTGTGTTTATTCTACTTCCTTCAGAAACCCCTCTAAAATGAAGGAGGCAGGAAGATGCTTTTTGGAGATACCAACCATTGAGACTCTAGCCCTGGGACACCAGGCACTGTGGATGGTAAAGAAGTGTCATATCAGAAACTAGGGGGTGAAGTGAACTTCTACACTCTAAACAATGGGAGGGCCGGCCTCTCTCTATACCACTTTTGGTTCCCAAACCATGGACATCCTGCTTATATCTCCTAGGCAGTAGATGTGAAGATTAAGCCAGGAAAACTGTCCATTTTGAGGAAAACACCTATAGATAATGACATCAGTTTCGGGGGGGACTTAACCACCTCACAATGAAGACCACAAATCTACAAGTTGCACTCATGTGTGTGTAACTTCCAATCAGATTTTTAGGTCTCACTCTTAAATAAAAACAGGTAACCAAAAGTATACCAGACATTTGAGTAAAATTTCTAACAAGAATGAATTCAAAAGAATTGCTAAGGAAATAAAGATAATGCAGGGAACCCAAGAAAATTAGAATGTTTTAAAGTTAAGAAAAGACACTATCTCTGTAAAAAATGATTAGGATGAGATTGAGAGAGAGCAGAGCAGTGGTTTGCTTGGGGATGGGAGAGGTGGGACAAGAGACTGTCAAGAGGCACAAGGAAACTTTTTGGGATTGTACATATGTTCACTATCTTGATTGTGGTGATGGTTTCATAGGTACATACACATGTCAAAAATTATATAACCATATACATTAAATAGGTATGGGTTCCTGTATATTAATCACACCTCAATAAAGCTGTTAAAACTAAATAAAAAGATTAGGATGCTCTAAAATAAAAGAATAATTAAAACTTAAGAAAAAACTCTTGGAAAACATAAAAAGTAACAGCAGAAATAAAATTCAATAGACTGGAAGATAAAGTTGAAGAAATCTTCTAGACAGTAATCTTCTCTTTAGAAAGAGAGGGAGAGGGAGAATCATCGATGTGAAAGAGAAACATCAACCAGATGCCTCCCTATGTGCCCTGACTGGGGATTAAACCTGCAAACATATTTTTTGGTGGGAGGACACTACAACCAACTGAGCCACCCACCCAGCCAAGGCTCCTATGCATTTTGTATCTCATGAAATTAGGAGAGAATGTAACCACAAGGAAAATTAAAGTATCAGGAAACAGAGGAACTAATATAGGAAAAAGAGAAAGGAATACCATGTATGGTAAAGGAATAACCCACGACAAAAACTGGGGAGCAGACCTAGGGAGCAACTAATTCAGATTAGAACAAGAGGGTGATGAACTCTGGGAGAGGATATCTTCAAGAAAAAGAAATTGGAACTGATAAATTAATTGATACATTGCCCGTACTAAAAAGGGTTTTATTATGGTGCCAGGAAGTTTGGAAAAAGAATTATGGATGGGTCTATAGACACTAGGCTAAAGAAAAAAAAATGAAGTAATGATGAACTCTCCTCCAGTCCCCAATCCCCATAAAGTTGACAAGAAAATAAATGCAATTACAATATGAAGTTTCAATGTGAACTAATTTTTACACAATCTCTGTGGCAGCAGCTGCTTGTTGTCCCTTGATATCCATTCCCCTCCTCTTCCACAGTAACAGAATTTTAACCTTGGCCCAAGGTTGTCAGATAAAGACTACATTTCCCAGCTAGATGTGGCAAGGTGACTAAGTGCTGGTCAATAAAATGAGAAAGCGATATGCACAATAACTAGGCTGTGCCCTTAAAAGAAACTTTGCAGGCATGGTGAGTAGTTACCCATTCTGGGTAATGAAAATGAGATGAAGCGAAAGTAGGTCTCTGACGACTTTGTGAGCATAGCTGCCATACCAGGTTGTACTTTTACCTGAGGGAGAAAATAAACTACCTTTTAAAGCCACTGATATTTGGCTCTTTGTCACAATTAAGCCTGCTTCATAACTATTATAACAGTGTTATAACTGAATACTCTGCTAAAATATACTGAGGAGGGGGAGATGTAATTAAGCTAAATTTTCATTTTCTGATAAAATAAGTAATAAATAAAATTTAAATCTAAAATATCAAGAAAGGGCAGTAAAATAAGTCGTTAGAAATATGGATATAAACACTAAAAGAACCTTCTTAACATAGTTGCTTTTGGTGAGCAGGACTTAGCGATAAGAAGGAGTAGGGCAAAGGACATCTGTGTTTCCTTTTCAGCACAGTACTATTAAATTTTTAAAATTATATACATGTATTATTTTGATAAAAATATCAGTTAAACTTAAAAATTACGTCTCACTTTTAAACTGTTATAAACCAAGTTCTACATTGAATGTTTGTTAGTAGTCTGCTAAAAATAAGAATGAAACAAAATAGATGTCTAGGGGCATGAGTATGGGTAAGATATTGATATAGAACTTCTAATTAAAACTATTTTGATGTAGACACCAAATACAAACTCCCATATTTAGCCTTGTGTATACTTCTCAAAATCTATCTAGTAGATTTTTGGCATCAACAAAAACATAATAAAAATGGTTTAATTTTTATTAATATCTAGAAAACTGAAGTCAATATTTTACTTATTTTTAAAAATAAAAACAGGGTTAACAAACTCTATCATCTTACCCGCAAAGCATTTAACATCTGATGTATTCTTTGATTCCATCTCTCTCCCTCAATATTTTTTTCATTTCCCAATGACTCCTGTTTGAATGAGAAAATATTTCACTTAAGCAAATTTTAGTGAATGTTTATTATTTGTCAGGCATAGAGTTTGCTACAAAAAACACAATGACAACAGTGGGTCCGGCCATATAAAGAGCTTATAGTCTGATAACAGAGAGACTAAAAGTAGCCTACAGGTATAGATCAACCTTTGCCGGATTACATCTATATTCCCAGGTAATCTTCTTTTAAGAAAAATTTTTATTGAATTCATTGGAGTGACATTGGTTAATAAATTATATAGGTTTCATGTGTACAATTCTATAGTACACCATCTGTATATTGTATTGTATGTTAGCCACCCCAAGTCTCTTTCCATCACCACTTACCCCCTTTCACCCTTTTCTACCTCCTCCTACCCTCCTTTCCTCTGGTGATTACCATACTGTTGTCTGTGTCTATGAGTTGTTTGTTTGTTTGTTTGTTTTTTGCTAATTCTTTCACCTTTTCACCCAGCTCCCCAACCCCCATCCCCTCTGACAGCTGTCAGTCTATTCTCTGTATCTATGAGTCTGTTTCTATTTTGTTAGTTCATTGTATTCATTAGATACCACCTATAAGTCAAATCATATGGTACTTGTCTTTCTCTGACTGGCTTACTTCACTTAGCATAATACTATTCAGGTCCATCCACACTGTCACAAATGGTTAAGATTTCCTTCTTTTTTACAGCCAAGTATCAATATTATTCCACTGTGTAAGTGTACCATAGCTTTTTCATCCATGCATTTACTGATGGGCATTTGGGCTGTATATGCCAATAGACATATGAAAAGATGCTCACCATCACTAATCATCAGAGAAATGCAAATTAAAACCACAATGAGATATCACCTCACACCTGTCAGAATGGCTATTATCAGTAAATAACACTGCAATGAATATAGGGGTGCATATATTCTTTCAAATTAGTGTCTTAAGATATATTCCCAGAAATGGAATCGCTGGGTCATAAGGAAGTTCCATTTTTAATTTTTGAGATAGCTCCATACTGCTTTCCACAGTGGATACACAAATCTGCATTCCCACCAACAGTGCACAAGGGCTTCCTTTTCTCCACATCCTCGCCAACACTGGTTGGTTGTTGATGTACTGATGATAGCGATTCTGACAGGTGTGAGGTGATATCTCCTTGTGATTTTAATTTGCATTTCCCTGATGATTAGTGACATTGAGCATCTTTCCATGTGTCTATTCGCCATCTATATGTCCTCCTTGAAGAAGTATCTATTCGGGTCCTTTGCCCATTTTTTAATTGGATTGTCCTTTTGGTGTTGAATTTTATAAGTTCTTCATAAATTTTGGGTATTAACTCAGCAGATGTATCATTGTCATTTATGGTCTCTTATTCAGTGGGTTGTCTTTTCATTTTGTTGATGGTTTCCTTTGCTGTGCAAAAACTTTTTAGTTTGATGTAGCCCCATTTGTTTATTTTTTTCCTTTTGTTTCCCTTACCCAAGGAGATGTATCAGAAAAAATATTGCTACGAGCAATGTCCGAGGTTTTACTGCCTATGATTGCTTCTAGGGTTTTTATGGTTTCAAGTCTAACTTTTAAGTCTTTAACTCCATTTTGAGTTTATTCTTATGTACGGTGTGAGAAGGCAGTTTAGTTTCTTTTTTTTTTTTTGCACTCATCTTTCCAATATCCCTAACACCATTTACTGAAAAGACTATCTTTGCCTACTATATGTTCTTGCCTCCTTTATCAAATGTTAATTACCCATAAAAGTATAGGTTTACTTCTGGGCTCTTTATTCTGTTCCATTGATCTATATGTCTGTTTTTATGCCAATACCATGCTGTTTTGATTACTATGGCCTGGTAGTAAAGCTTAATTCTCCAACTTTATTCTTCTTTCTCAAGATTTCTGTGGCTATTCAGGGTCTTTGGAATATTTGTTCTAGTTCTGTGAAATACACAATTGGTATCTTAACAGGAATTGTATTGAATCTATAGATTTCTTTAGGTAGTATGGACATTTTAATGATGTTAATTCTTCCTCTCCATGAACACAGTATTTGCTTCCACTTATTTGTATCTTCTTCAATTTCTTTCTTCAGTGTCTTATAATTTTCCAAGTACAGGTCTTTTATATCCTTGGTTAAATTTATTCTTAGGTATTTTTTATTTAATTTAATTTTATTTTTATTGATGCAATTGTAAGTGGGATTGTTTGCTTAGTTTCCCTTTCCGATAGTTCATTGTTGGTGTACATAAATGCAACTGATTTCTGGATATTTATTTTGTATCCTGCTACTTTACTGAATTCATTGAACAGTTCTAGCAGTATTTTGCTGAAATCTTTAGGGTTCTCTGTATACAGTATCATGGCATTTGCATAGACTATCTTCTGATTATGGGCTCCAGAGTAGGAGAATCTGCAGTCTTTACTAGTAATGCATCCCAGGGTACCAGGCCCTTACTTTGAAAAGTAGTCAGCAAAGACCACCACTTTTGACGAGAACTTACCCAGCCCTGGTCAATCTGAACCCAGTTAACATGAGTAAACATAAAACTACTTAAAAAATATGCCTTATAAAGGCCTTTATCTGAACTTACTTAGTGATACAGAAGCTCTAATAAAAACTGGTATTTAGTAGTTTGTGTAAAATTGGATTAGAAAACTTTCAGATTTTGAGGGTGAAGATAAACCAATTGTCTGACATGTTATCTGAATAGATTTCATTCTTTTTAGTCTTTAAATCTTCAGAAATACCTCAGTATTTAAAAAAATTGTAAAGTTGAAATCCCTTTACAGGAATTCACTCTAAGCCCTTACCCACTAACACCTTATGAATTGAGAATAGAGCTGGGTATAGGAAAGGTGCTGATCAGTCTGAAAAAAAAATGTATTTTTTCTAAAACATATGGATCAAAGCCTATATTTATATATATGACTTCTGCTCAAAGGGCCACAAGTCAACAGCAAAGCTAGAAGTAATATTTGACCTGCTTAACTCCATATATATTATTGATTCATGTCTCTAGTTTTTGTCCCAGAGTGTAAAGGCATTTTAAGATTGTAATGAATTTGAGCAGAAGCTTTTTAGTAAATAATATCAAAACATTTAATGCCTGATATTAACTTTGTTTTTAAATAAATTATCATTATGATGAGTTCTAAGACTATTAGGCTTTTTTCATATGTGGAAAACAGACTGAATTCTCTGGATAATCTAGGATAGAATAAATACCTGGACTTTTTTTTCACCTGAAACAGTTAAACAGCTGAGCCAGGAATGGGCTGATTCATTTTTGTCTTTCTCTTTGCCTCTATAGACAGAGGTTATTTTCATACACAGCACAAGCTCAACTGTTTTAATAATCCACTGGGCTTTCCACACAATGGATTCAGCTGTAGAGTGCCCTGATAGATCAAGTGGACAGGCTTCAGCAAAGCACACAGACTATTTCTTCTGAGCCTTTTCCTGGTTAGTTTAGTTGTGCAATATGGGAGAAGCTTCAGTCTCATGAATTTTTAACAAAGAGTTTGACATTTGCTTTTTACATTTGAAAAATAGCATTTTGTATATTCAAAAATAAAAATCAACATTAGTAATGGGATGGGCTCATTTATCCCGGAACAGGCTAACTTTGACCATGTAAGATGCTGCTTGTTTAAGAGATTTTAAGAAAATCTGGAGCATAAGCCAAGACAGGCCATTCGTATGAAAAAGCTAATGGAAGCAGCTTGGGTGGGGCAGTGCCTCAGAGAATCACCAGAGTGAGGCAAACAGTGTGAGTTGATGGAGTCTCAGATATGATGCCTGCCTGGCAGCTCTGTGAAGGGAAGGCTCATCAAAGGAACAATGGTCTCTGCTAGCACTTCTGTCTGGGAGAAAGCTACCCCTCAAGCTCCCACCCTGATGTTGGACAATTCAGTTCCTTCCCACATATCTTTGGTGCCTTTTAAGATGCTGCCCCAATGCTGTAACTCAGATGAGTGAGTCTTAGTAAATCCGTGCGCAGGTCCTTTAACAGGAATTATCTGGGACCCCAGAAGCCTCCGTTTCAGTCAGCCTCAATCCCTGCTGGTTTTTATAGCCAGAAGTTCTGGGAACTTCTCTTCCTGGCACTGGAACCCTAGGCTGGGGACCTGGTGTGGAGCTGGGACCCCTTCCACCCCAGGAGGTCCTCTGAAGTCAAGATTTCCCTCGATTTTTATCCACAACACGTGGGTGTGAGACCAGCCCATTTCACATCTCTGCCCCCACTACCAATCTTGATGTGGCTTCTTCTTTAATTCCCTAGTGTAGGACTTCCATTCAGCCAGATTTCAGGAAGTACTGAACAATGGTTGTTCTGTAGTTTAGTTGTCATTTTGATGTGGTTGTGGAAGGATGCAAGTACTATGCTGCCATCTTGACTGGAAGTCCTTTAAAATAAAATTTCAAGTGCCCTAGACCATACTCCTAATATAGCTGTTTCTCTAGAGATATTACAAGAGTAACTTAAAACAATGATGCTCAACATTTTAAATCTGACTACTTTTGATAAGCACAAAAATCTCTTACCTTTCTTTAAAATTATTGGAAGTTTCAAAATAAAAAAGTCAAAGTAATTCTGAATATGTATTATCAAATCACTCACACACATCTTTGTTGAGATCACCAATATAAATTACAGTTTTAAAAAGGAACATGACAGCTCTAAAAACCAATTTTTAGGTAAAGAAGGTGTTAAACATTTAGGTGTTCCTAAATGTTTAAGTTTTTAAGAACACTTCCAAGACTATACATATATTTACCAATTCAACTGGACAATTTTCAATTTCTTGTGCCAAGATGACATTCACTAAAGAGGATTCCTCAGCAGCCAAAGAAACAATATCCTGCTAAAGCAAATTAGAAAAAAAATAGGTAAGTTATCACAGTACTAGTCATCGCAGGAACAATCTCATTTTAATAAATGCTTTAATCACATGAATGTTCATTTATAAAACTAATTTAGAGTACTATATCCCAGGTAGGCAGCCTCTGACTTAAATACTCCTGTTTTCCACATGTCTCCTATAAATGAAGAACTTGCAGGTCCCTTCCCCTCTTGCTTCCTATCCTTGTCACTCCTATTTCTCTTGTCACTGCAGATCTCATATCAAAAGTCTCTGCTGCTGTGTGGCTGAGGCCACTTTCCTTTGAAGCATTTTATCTAGCCCCAGTTCCCTACCTCTATTCTCATGCCAGTACCAGGTGGCAGAAGATCTTCAAACAGAGGGAGGGAGACAAGGGAAGGGATATTAATATCCCTACCTACGGCCATGACAGGATTCTTGCCACCACTGCTGGAGCTGTCACTGGCAAAAGGGAAGAAAAACTGTATCTGGAAGGGGTGCAAAGACATAAAGGAAGAAGGAAAAAAAGAAAGCCAGAAATTCTCCATTCCCCATCTTCTCCCTTTTTCATTGCTATAGAAGCTGTCAGCCCCTTTTTCATTGTGAACCTATCACCAAGCTTCATTCCCCAGCTGTCAGCTATGATCTTGATTAAGTTAGAAGCTTCCCACAACAGTTTACTTGATTTTTCACTTCAGCTTTTTAAAATTTTAGTGAATATAATGAGTTGCATTTTATTCTTTAATATACATATTTGTGGAAAATCTTGTTTTTCTCTTTTAATTTCTATGAATATTCTACATTTTAGAGACTCTCAATTTTGCAGTTACTTTACATAAACATTCTGTTTTATAAAGATTTGAAAATGACAAATCAGAATCAGTATTTCCTATCCCTTCAAACTGATTGTGCTCCCATTCCTGACTATATTTCACATCTGTTCACCATTTTGGGAAACAGAATAAAAATGGAATTGAAGGTTAAGTGTTAAGCATAGGATAAAGGAATAAAAGTTTCAAAAGAACCAGTGCATTAATCCTTTTCTTTTACTTCAAGCACTTGGGAATATCCAATTTTGTCAATATGTTAAAAAGTCATAAACTAAACCAGCTTGCTTAATCATAATTTTCAGTAGTTGTTCTCTAAGAAATGCCCGAACCCAAATAAAGAAGAGAGTAGTACTGGCAACCTAGTATCTCAATATCTAGTATGTTATAAAATATTTAGTAAAACACATTCTCTTTTAATGCATCATGAAGTTGTCTTTCCTTCCAAGGGCATTCGGTTTCAATGTGGACTGACTTTGAATTCCCTGAGTGGTTATCAAAGTACAGTGATGATGGAACAGACTAGAAAAGCATTGGTTTATTTTTACCTGGTATGGCTATAATATTTACATTTGTACAAATAAAGTGACAATTGAGAAAATATTTTACAGTAAATTGTTTCCAAATAACTGTTTTTCAAATAAAAGTTATGTCTTCAAATAAAAATTATTTAAAACATTTTATTTTGGCCATGTATCTTTAGATAGTCTTTTAGATTCAAGGCTAACGTAACTGGTAGGTCTAAAACATACTATTCTTAGAACTTGGAAGTGTGAATTTATGATCAAAATTAAAACATAGGTGGATTGTCCAGAGTCCTAAGATTCCATGACATATTGAATGTGGGGCCTAGTAGTATTCTCAGCATATAACCAGACTGAGGTAAAATCACTTATTTAATGTACTATGCAAAATACTATTTCAGTATGAAACTACTTATCTTGTGATCTGCTATCCTAAAGTTCCAGAAAATATTGTTCTGCAGATGAAAATCATGTTTTATCCTGTGGTACTGCTACTTACTAAAGAAATTATAGGATGATATGAGATGAAATATAAAATATAAATGTACGACAATACTAATCAGAGTCTCAATGTTCCTTCACTGTATCTGTGTCAGAGAAATAATATTTTTATTATTCTTTTTGGTTAACTTACCTCAGAATTAATATTTTTATTGGCATCCTCATGCGAGCTACAATTTGACCCATCAATCACATCCTTCCAAGTTTTGTGTTGACTTAACTCTTGCTGGGAACTTGGATCTTTCATCATAGAGGTCTCTGAATTATTAAGGAAGTAAAGAAGATTTCACCAAAATATCTCTTCAACTTAAATTGGAATATGATTGTTACAAAAGAAAACTTCTGACACTAGAATCCATTTAAGCAAAGGGTATACAAATTCTTTATGGTTCCCAAGTCTCACATATTTATCTTCCTATTTCCCACATCTGCCTCTATCACCTCCACTTCCTTTCTTCTACCACTTCCCTCCTCAGTACTCACAGCCATACATTTACTCATAAGACAACATGGATAGTTCAAGCCCACCTTGGCGTATCACTCAGCAGATTTTAATGACTTCAGGATGGATGATCAGGAAGCAGAGGCTCACTCACCACCTAAGTTGGTTTTATTATTCCTTTGTAATAGTCACGATAATAATCAGCAATTATTAATACTCCGTGTATCCTCTGGGAGTATGGAAATATTTGTCTCAGGTTAACTGTATTGTTTAAACACTATTCTTATTCACTAGGTGACATTTCATGTTAGTTGTTTTAAAGTGAAATATTATCTTACTAGATATGAAAACTGTCTTTGTTTAAGGTTTGTGAATACTGCCTTTTGGGGGTGTGGGAAGTAGGGAAGCGTAAGATTAAGCATAGTATACATGGTATATAAACCACCTTTTTAATGTAGCTTTGTGGGCAAAAATTAATCTGCAAAGCAGAAAAATACAATGCTGATATAATATTTCTTTCCAATTCGAATACTCTTTTAGAGATAGCATTTATAGTTGGGAATATGCAAACAGATTCCATACTCATTTTGTAATGCAAAATGAAAATTTTTGTTTCTACAACATTCCTCAACATCAACAAAATTAGGATGTCTTACCTACTATGCTTCCACCTTTCATTTCTTCCCTTATTGATTCCTTCTGCATCAATTTTCTTCCAAGTTTAAAGCCAGAGGACAGAAAGCATTTTGTAAATAACTGTAAAAATACACATTTTTTGTTTCTAGTTTTTGTACAAATAAAGTAGTTCAATAAAATATAAGCACATATGCTAAAAAGTCAAAATTATAATTCATGCACACATTTCCAGGAAATTAATTCAAAATAAGGGGGTATTTTTCTACAAGTTTAAATTCTTGACTCTATGAGTGTAAATATGCACTTATTTATTTATTACCAAACACTGCACACATGTAAAAGTATGGAAACTATTACCATTTTCAGTTCAGTATGAGTCAGATCCTGGGTAGCAGTTGACAGAAGTGTGTCCACTCCTCCCCTCTTTTTCCACATCATCAGTCTTTGGGTAGGAGGTGCAAGTTCCAAAACCATGAGAGTGTCAGCAAAGGAAGTAAGCTGTTTATGCATAATTTTGCTACTGATCTCCTTGACTGGATCTATGAGCAATTTCCTCTTTTTGCTTTTCCTTTTCCAAGCAATATCTAAATATCAGAAATAGGCTCAAATGTGATTGGTTGTACAACTTTGTAAAATGGTATTCTAGGCACTGCATCTCAAAGAAATGTCTACCACAATTCAACCTACAGAGTTGCACAGAGCAGAAAATCCCCTTCTCTGTACTGAAAATTATGTTTTACAAAGTTTTTGCACAATTGGAATGTCTGAGAAGCCAAGACTTCACACATTTTGTAAGCTGTTGCTCACAGTTTCTGAGCAGGGACTCTGTTGACCTACATAGTGGACAACTGAGGACATAGGGAACAGAGGGTATATTGATAGGAAAGTCACTCAATTCTGAGGTTCCTTAAAATACCTATATAACAGTATAACTTTTTGAAACAATAATTTGCATTTGCCCAGTATATTTTTCCCTCCCTCACTGAAATTCATACACAAAGTCCAAGTGGGTAGCCCATGGGATTTCATGCCTATAGGTAATTTTACTAGGTAGAAAGCAGAAGTCATTTTTTGCCTTAGTAAAGATGCAAAAGGGGAAGGAGGGTTAAATTTCCAAGAATGGGTAAATATCTGAGATCAGATGAAGTCAGAAGGAACAGGCACCAGCTTGCTGATGTGCCTCAGTAAAATCCTGGGAACATAAGATCCCAGAGGGGCTGGCTGTGTGAAGACTCCAGAGGCTATGCAGGCTGGGACAGTGGGCACTGCAACCTGGTGTGGCTGATGACCAGAAGTTACCTTCCACTGGCCACAAACTTCCCCAAATTTTGATACTACATGGCTTAGGGCAGGATAATGGAGCTGGGCAGACTGAAATTCTTGCCAGCCCAGTCGGACAAAGGCTCAAGGTTGAATTTGGCAAAGGAAAAAAAAAGTTTGAACACTTTATTTCTTGCATGCCTGCGTTTATAAACTGAAATCCATATCAATTATACTACTTAAAACTAGTGTATTTTTTAAAAAGTCTAGTTATATATTAGATTCATATTTATTGTTTATTCCTAAAATCATGCTTGAAGTTAAACATTAGAAGAGAGAGTGTCTCTCTTCTGATTCTTTTATTCTGCCTTATTTTATATTCATTTACATGCTTATTTATTTCGTGATCAAATTGTAAGTTTTCCTTTTTCTTATTGAGTTTACTGAGGTGACACTGGTTAACAGAACCATACAGGTTTCAAGAGTACAACTCAAGAAAACATTGCCTGCTTCATCATGCACCCATTGTCCAGAGCGAAGTCAGGGTCTGTCCCCCTCATCCCCGCTTTGCCCTCATCGCCTCCCCCGCCCCACTTTGCCTCTGGCTATCACCATACTGCTCTTGTCTACACACACACACACGCACACACACACATATTAATATACAGGGTCCAGCACAAATAATGCCCCTTTTTATTACATAAAAATCTTTTATTATAAAATCATAAGCATGTAATCCTGTAACATAACGATATCACACTCAGGCACACCATAGGACGTTTCAGGTAAAAGGTGCACATTGCTTGTGCGAGACATTCATGTACACTACCAACCACATTCAATGCCGTTACTTCTGCCGGACCCTGTATGTTTTATTTATATATATATAAAGTTTCTTAAAAGCAGGAACTATGTCTTCTTCACTTGTGCCCAATACAGAGTAATGGCTCAATAACTACTGAACTCAGTTTAAAATATTTCAGTTTCCCAAACTGGAAATATGGGTGGACCACAACTGAACAGAATGAAAAGATCCTCTCAAACTCCCTTAACACTCTTCCCCTGTTGTATTATAAATGCTATTACTAGATTGACTACCTTTTATAATATTTCAGATTATTCAAATATCTAACAGTAAATAAGATAGTGGTTGTTAAAAGTAAAAATAAAAACATGAATGACTCTTACCTGAAGCATCAATTGGATCAAGAGTAAGTCCTTCATCTTCATTTGATAATGTGGTTTCATACATTTTTTCACTTTCCAGTAGATGTATATACTCTGGATTATCTGGTTCTACTAATCAACATCACCATAAAAATAATAAAAACAATAACTAGAGGACTATATGATAATTAAAGTGAAAGATAAACTAATTGAACATTTATATTTCTAACTAGAGCCACTTCTGAATTCTTAGAATCATGTATTTGACAGAGTTGAGGAGGCTCAGCTCTGGGACCCACAGTGTCTAAGTGAGTCTGGTATCATTATCCTTTTTGCACATATGACATCTAAGGCTGGACTAGATATGACTGTGACTATAGTCACAAAGTGAAAACATGGTACCATGATAAATGACTGGCTTAAATATGATTACATGTCTGCTAAAATATTTGTATTCTGTTCAATCATTTCATTACTAGTTGACCTATAAAAAATTGTAACTTTTAATTGCCTATCTATTTTCACATTTTAAATTTCCATTATTGTGTTAGAGAGCAAATGTAACATCAAAAAGAATAAAAAATCAAAATGAGGTTAATCATACTAACAATTCTTTAAAAAATCAGACTAAAAGAAATCAAATCATTTGAGGTACCTTCACATAAATTTCAAGTAGAAAATATCCCTACCTATTTGTAGTTTCTCTCCAATTGTATATAGGTTATCAAATCATATGAATATGACATTAATGTAATAACCATTTTATAGCAAACAATAATGTTTTTACCATGTAACATATGTTTTCTTAATGATTCAAAAGCACAATATTTTGGCAGAGAATTTAAACATTCTCTCATATTAAATAAAACCAGTCCTAGTTAAATAACCATTATTGTACCTTTCTCAGAACCCAGTTTCTTATTCTACATAGTCTTGAGTCAGACTAAGAGTTTGAGGAACATTTTTTATTATCTTTTGATATATGCTACATAGACTCAGAAGTTCTGAGGCTTAATTTGAATATTACCAACTTTTCACTTTCTATACAAAGGAAAATTTCAACATACCCACTATATTATTGGGAGACTCAGGAGGCAAGGGAATTTCTCCATTTAAATGCATGTCTTCTAACAGGATATTCTCATCATCTTGCAACAGATTGTCTTGAAAAACACAACAAATACTTTTGTCATACAGAATTGAATCTATCACTTGCTCACTAAACTTTGATTGATGTTATTGTATATAAGAAATTGTGAAAGAATACAAAAATAAATGAACCCTATTTAATTAGATTTGATTGGATAGGCTATCACATTTCATGCAGAATAACATAATTTTTATATACTTAATTTTCTTTCCTTTATTAAAATCTATTTAGATGTTTAATTTCAGAAAATATTTACTAAACTAATACCAAGATAGTAACCTTGTTACAAAGCCAAGTTTAGTTTCACGTCAAGAAGTGAAAAATTTTCAAACTCCTTTGGTAGAGATTTAAGGTAGAGCCACTGTTTATTCATATTTTCAAAATTCCAGATGTTTGCAATAACCAGCCTTAAAAGAAATTGATTGATTTGAGAGAGGAAGCGGGTGGGGAGAGAGAAACATTGATTTTGTTATTCCACTTATTTATGCATTCATTGGTTGATTCTCGCATGTGCCCGGACCAGGGATAGAACACAGTTTTGTCCTTTATCAGGACAAAGCTACAACTAACTGAACGACCAGGCCAGGGCAACCAGACTTTTAATGTAAACTAGAAAATTAAAAAAAGATTCGCCATGTAGCAGTCAATATTTTTAAAATATGTTCATTTGGATTTCCTAGTTTTTGCCTACACTATTTCTATGATTAATATAATATAAAAATAAAATAATAATATAAAATGTTGGACAGATCCTTTAGAATAGCTCTCCCACAATTTCTGTTAAAGAAAACAATGTTGGGGGGGGGAGGGTTTGGTATATAATCTAGTATATTTTGTGAGGAATATGCTAACCTCACTTTTTCCCTTCTAAAAATTAGAAATATTTAAAAAATAAAAACAAGCAGTATTTCACAATCTATATAAAAAATGTGTTTAAACAGATGGTTATTTACTTAGACCTAGCTTAAATGTTTAAATATACTACACACTTAACTCATGTAAAGAATGTGTTGATTTATGACAGAAGCATTCCTGATGTTTTAGTTGGATCTAATATATCTACTAATATACTATAGTAATTTCATAGGAATAAGTATCCAATTTCTGTAGAACCAGACAGCATACCGATCATTTCTCCTGCAGCTCCTTCATCACCAAATCCATCCCCACTGTCATAGAGCAGAGATTTTTCTCCACTGAGGCTTCCAGAACTATTTTCAACTACAGGACCACTGGAATTCAGCAATATGTTGTCATCAAAGAAGCTATGGCTTCTGAGAATTTCAGGTTCCTCCCCTGAATAAATATATATCATTAAAACTGAGTCAGACAAACACAGAATTTTAGGGTTAGAAGGAAATTCAGATAGCATCTTCCATAGCTCCCCTGCCCCTTCATTTTACAGATAAGGAAAATGAGAGCTAAAAAACTTATTTGAATTATTAAAGTCACTCAGTTAATCAGCGGATACTCGATTTCTAGTCTAACGCTTTTTTCCAATACAATGAGAAAATAAAAAGCCAAAACATCAGAAATAGAGTTTCTAGTTGTGATACAGTTTAATAATTTCCCAGATTATTACCGGCAGTGGAATGATTCTCCTACTTTAGGTTGGTCATGTTCTGCTTGAACAAGTATTATGTCATATTATTTCAAGGATAAAAGCTTGTGTTTTTTATCCATAGTGGAGCTTTGGAAAATAAGGAACATATCTACCTTCTCAGGAATGGAAAAGTGGGTAAAATATTAAAGAATGGACTTTCAACATTCATTGAGTAAGTATTCACGAATGGGTATTAGGAAATATGTTAGGGATTGGAGATACAGCCATTAAAAAGACAAAAACTAGTCAGCTAACATTAACCGAGTGCTTACTATGTGCATTATATTATGCAATAGAAGATACTATTAAAACCCTCATTGTATAGACAAAGAAACACATCCACAGAAAAGTACTGTAATGAATACATGGTCACACTCTAATAAATGACAAGGCCAGGATCTGAACCCAGCAGAGACATCAGTGTTAGAATTGTAACTGGTAAAATACTTTGTCAAATGGAGGTTTATGACAGAAAACTCCTAAGACACAGCAGCAGATAAACTCCCTGCTTCAAACTGGCCTGCTTCCAGATAGGCTAAAAGTGCATATTCTTTCCCTTCCTTGGGTTTGAATCTCTAGGCTCAGGAGTCTGAAATCCCAAAGAGTCAAGTTTGGTCTTTCCTGCCCACCCTCTAACAACCCATGTAAGTGCTATTCGGTAAAGAAAATAATGAAGTATCACTTGTTACTTTGTTGAAAGTTCTTTTAACATATAGAAAGTTCTTCTATAGGCACACATCTTCTAGAAAGTAAGAGTTTAAAAAGGCAACCTTCATTGTACTGGACTAAACATTTGCTCAAAAGAAAAGACTGACTTCTCTAAAAATATTTCCACATGTTCCAGGTGCAGCTTGACAGCTCCCAAAAGAAAAATCAGTCTTGGTCAATAAAACAACATTTATGAAGAAACACTATATTCTTAGCACTGAGCATCACAAGAACCTGAGATTACACAAAACAATTAAGGAAATAATCATTGCCTTCAATCTTATATTGTTATTCAGAATAGGATAGATTCACATTAAACAGTTCTTTAAGGACATTAGGTTTGAGTTAGTTTTTGAAGAAAAGAATTACTTATTGGTGGAAAGGATTAAAGGGGGTATAAGGAAAATAACCCTGTGATGTTGCTAGTAGTATCCCAATTTAGGGGAGTAAAGCAGTAAGAAATAGGGTAGTAAGGCTCAGAGAAGTTAGGTAATTAACCCAGTATCACACAGCAAGTAAACAGAGAAAGCCCAGATTCAAATCCAGGTCTGTTGGTATACTAAGAAGGTGTTCTTCCCACATATCCTAGAAAAAGGCAAGGATAAAATTATTGGGGGGTTACATTTATACATTAAAAGATTCATTCTAAGGATATTTCTACTGTCATCGAAATAACTTTCTATTGGCATTATTTCAATATAAAGATGCAAATACTACTGATTAGGATATAATTTTGATTTCCCAAATATTCTCACCAAAACTCCCAGCTTGGAAAAATAGATCATTGTGATAATCTTCTTTAAGTGTGATTTCTTCTGGTCTGCTTTGGTTCTGAGTAAATTTTTCTAACACATCAATAGCACTATGGAGAAATGTAAGATTGAGGAAAACACGTGAACACATGTTTTATAGTATACTGCAAAACAACAACAGAAACCCCTAAAACAAAAAAAAGGTTTTATTATAAAAATAAAGGATATTTTTACTTTCTCAACATTATTGTTTATAAATGCTAGTTTTTTATACATGCATATAATCCCAAGTTGCCAAATCCAATGGTCAACTCTCAGTCCTCTTACTTACCCTAACCAATGGCATTTGAAATAGATGTTAACTTCCTTCCTTATGAAATGCTTTCTACTGTTAGGCTCTGGAATTCCACTCTTTCTTGATTTTCTTTCTACCTCACTGGCTGCTCCTTTTCCATCTCCTTTATTAGTTCTTCCTCATCTCCCAGACTATTAACTATTAGGAATGACCCAACAACACTCAGTCCTCAGATCTCAATCTCATTTTCTCCCTTACTCCCCCTCTCCCCTTTAAATCTACACATACTCCTTTGGGGATGTCCTATGATTTATGGTTGAAGTTCCATCTATATCTCACAGCTCCCAAATTCATATATCCCACCCAGACCCCCTTCCTGAATCTTACACCCAGGTAATTCAACTACCTACCTACTCCCCCTGTATGTATAACAGTCACCACAAAACTTATGTCCAAAAGCTAATTTAATTCCTTGACCCTGCCCCTCTAAAACCTGACATTCCATAGTTACCCTAATATCATTAAGTGGTGACTTCATTCTTATGCCAAAAACCATATAGTCATCCTTTACTTCTCTCTTTCTCTTAAAGCCATATGCAATCAGCAAATTCTGCTGGGTCTGACTTCAAAATATATTCATAATTTGACTGCTACCATTTTGATAAAATGAAGATTGAGAACTGATGACACATACTGTTAGGTCTCACCTGGACTTCTTTCTGCAGTAATCTTCTCACAGGCTCTCTGCTTCCTCCCTTTTCCCCTTATAGTATAGTAAGTGCCCAAAAGGAGCACATTGAAATCGACTCACCAATTAAAACCCTTCTGGGCTTCCCCAGCAAAATGAAAGTCCTTATTGTAGCCTATGACATCCTGTATCTCTGCATCCCTGGCTGCCTCTCTGACCTCATTTCTTACCACTCAGACCCTCATTTACTCCATCCACTTCAGTCTCACTTGCCTCCTTGCTGTTCCTTGAAAATGTCCAGTGTACTCTGCCTGAGCACCTTTCCACTTGCTCTACATCAATTCTTCTTCCTCACATTATTGAAGATTTGTTCCTTTAGCTCCTTCAGGTTTCTGTTCTGACCTTATTAGAAATGCCTTGCTTGACCATTCTATTATTTATTTTATTTTATATTCTATTTCTCTTCATAATGATGATCATCTCCTGTCAATGTATATTTAATTGTTTATTGTCTGTCTACTCCAACTAAATGTTAGATTCATGCCACCAGAAGCTGTATTTCATTCATTGCTATCTCTTCAATATCTAGAACAGTGTGTAGCATATGGAAGGCACTAAAAAAATATTTACTGAATGAATGGATGAATATACTGTCAATATTGTAAACTGCATTTAGCAAATATAATGATACATTTTGGTGTACTTTGAAATTTCACATTAAATTCAAGTCTCTGTCAATTGCACATTTAATTCAGTTGTTAACTACATTGCATTTGCATTCATTAAATCTGAAGATGAAAAAAATACAATATCAAGAAAGAAATTGAAGGAAAATAAATAAAACAATTTACTTCACATTCTGGATTTCAAAATCATGAAATTCTTCTGGCAGCGTGATAGCACTGTAAGTTGCTTCAAAATTCTCTTTTGGAAGGTCAACTAGTCCTGAAAAGAATAAAAAATCTCATTCAGTAAGCAATGATACTATATAAAATAAGGAACTCCCAGATAAATCTCTTTTATTTAAGTGAGACTTTCTCTCACTAAACTACTGCTTAGTCTCCTACCTGGTTTCCCTGTATTCACTCCTGCTCCCCTTCAGTCCATTCTCTACAAAGCAGCCAGCGTGATATTTTAAATACGAAATCAGATCAGATCACTCCCACGCTTAAAGTGATTCAGTGACTTCCTCGGTACATTTAAATAGAATCCCAATTTCTAATCAGGGCCTCTGCAGCCCTACAAACCTATCAGCATCATCTAAGGACACTCTTTTCCTCACTCACTATACTCCAACCATACTGGTCTTTTTGTTCCCTGAACAAGTTAAGCACTTTTTCACCTCAAGACCTTTGCTCTTGCAATTCCCTCTGCCCAGAATGCTATTCCCTCAGGATATTTCTCATTCTTCAAGTTTGAGCTAAATTCTATCCTCTCAAAAAGGTGTCTCTCCCAGCTAGACTAACTAAAATAAAATTTGCTGTTATTTTTTGTTGTAGTATTCTTTTTATATTTCTTCACAGCATAATCACAACCTACAATTACTCGAGTGCTTAAAAAAAAAACCTTTTTCATTACCTGATTTTCTCACCAGACCAAAAAGGACCTTATTTGTCTTGTATTCCAGAGCCTAGCATAGTGTTTCACATAAAGTATGAGGTCAATAAACATTTGTGAAATAGATAAATAAAATAATGAACAAATGAACCATATTTGATATCATTTTAAATCTACATAGAGTTTATACAAATATCTTAAATAAAGAAAAAGCCCTGCCAATCCTAATTCAACAAATATTAATTGAGAGAGTAGCATATGCAAGGCACTGAAAAAAGTACTGTAAGAAATTCAGAAAATGAATGCCAATATATTGCCTTCAAGCAATATAAACTAGCTTATAGACTAGTTGTGAGAAGCCAAGCCTATACCTAAATAACCATAATACAAGATGGAAAATGATGAATGTCTTAAAATTAAATTTAAATTTAAAGGCATTATATTTATATTATATGTAAATCTCTAGCACTTTGGGATGTCTAGAGTTTTTATTTTTTTTATTTTTTGTATTTTATTACTAGCATGCTACTTAAGGAGTCTTGAGAATTCTGAAAACAAGGACGATTATTAATATCCAGGCTTTGTCAGACACATTATTTCTAATTTATCTCAAAAGGCAAAAACAGATATTGCAAACAACAAAGCACATTAAAACTGAGTATCAGAGTTTGTTGCACAAGTGTGGTAGCTTTAAGTATATTTCATAGGTAAACACGCAGAAACATTACAAGTTTCTGAAAGCATCTTTCCCTGTAAACACAGGAAAAGAGAGAACAGGAAACTTAGATTCACTCAAAAGAAAAATTACTTTCACCCTATTCACCCTGGAATTATAGAGTGTTGTCAATTAAAAAAGCCCACCCAAAATAAAAATGCAAAAGGGAACCAAGACAAGTGAGACAAATCAATATTGCACATATACCTGGGCGAAATGTCATCTTCATTTTAAGCAATGCTTCACTGCAATCTGCCAAAAGATATTTTGCCTTCCTATTATAGATTCGAACAATTCCCAAAAGAAGGTGTCCTGAAGTTCGAAGTGCAATTTTCACCTTTCAATAATTTTTAAAGTATTAGAATATTAAAAATTAGATTCATAAATCCTGTTCTTTGAAAATTACAAAATCATAAGAATTTCTTCTCTTTAAAAAGCAGGTATTTTGTATTCTTATTTAAAGTGAATCACTTAATTTTTACCTCACCTTGTAAAATATTGGGTTGGCCAAAACGTTCCTTTACTTTTTGCCATGTGATGGCACTAGTAGTGTTTAGTTGTCTTGAACTTCATTCGAAACAATTTTGTTAGATTGTATTGTGACAGCTGTCATATCAGCATGCATTTAAAAAAACTTATCAAAATTGGTGAATTTTTGTGCAACCATTTTAATATTGATGATAGAAGAAAATACGCAGCATTCTCAGCATATTATGCTTTATTATTTCAAGAAGGATAAAAATGTAACTGAAACACACACAAAAAAATTTGTGCAGTGTTTGGAGAAGGTGCTGTGACTGATCAAATGTGTCAAAGTAGTTTGTGAAGTTTCTTGGTACCATTGACATTTTGGCCAAATAATTCTTTGCTGTGGGGCTCTCTTATGCATTGGAAGATGTTTAGCAGCACCCCGACCTCTACCCACTAGGAGCCAACAGTGGGAGATAGCCAACATACTCAAAATATCCAAGTCAATAAAGTTATTGGTGAAAATAAAAAATGTGTCTTTTATTTTATGGAAAAAACTAAACAGATTTTTGGCCAACCCAGTAAGTTCTTTTCTTCAATGAAGATAATTTAATGTGACATTTAAGTGAAGAGTGCTATTATTGCCTTTATGGGAAGAATAAAAGGCCAAAGTCAAGCAGACTTGGGTTCAAGATTTGCCTCAGTTGCTGAGGCTGGGTCATTTAACATTCCTGAACTTTGATTTATTAATAATGGTTATAATTTATTATTTACTTGTTCTGTGCCAGGCATTGTCCTAAGGGCTTTTAATTCATTAATTTATTTAATTTTGATAACAACATCTATTTACAGAAGAAAAAACTGAGACTCAGATATGTTAAGTGGTGTGCCCAAACCAATACAACTATTAAGTAATGGAACAGGAATTCAATTTAAACTTGACAAACTCAAAAGTTCATACTCTTAGCTACCACGCTTCACTGAGGCAAAAAAGCCCATCACACAGGATTGTTGTGAAGATCAAAAAAACTAATGAACATAAAGTCTAGTCTAGTGCCTTACACATGGTTGGTTTTCAATTATAATTCATCCTTCTCTCAAGCAGAAAAATACTTAATGTATAAAATATTAAGAGAATATTTTAAGGTAAATTCTAGTAGGTTTTTTAATGAATATAACACTTTATGAAGTGTTTTCATATATTATTTTCAGTTATACACAATCCTCCTTTTTTTCCTACTTTCCCTATTTATTCACTCATTATTTTCCTAATAAATACTTATTTGGTACTACTTTGTACATAGTAATTTGATAGGGAATAACAAAGGATTACAAAATACGTATAAAATATGGTCTTTATCCTTCAGGGTCCACTCTATTTATGACAAACTTAAAACAGTTAATTATTAACACAAGCCAATATATGTATATATTCAGATAATAAATGCTATAGGAGCTAAACGAGCGACGACCATTTGAGAAGCAAACATCCTTGGAAATATATTTTATGATATAATGTATTTCAATTCCTTTCCTTTCCATAAGTCATGGCAATACATACTACAATTTAATCAATAGCATACCTTAGGTGAAATAATTTTTTCAATGGTTATCTCTAGATTACACTCAGATACATGGGCCTTCGTGAGTTTCTTCTCCCAGTGAGCTGCCAGCCAGATTTTGGCCAATGGCCCTCTCTTACTCATAAGCACATGTGTGTAGAACATATTGCCTGTATTCCTTAGTTGTTTTTAATGAACTAGAGAGAACATTAAAAGATATTTAAAATTTGATTACAAAAACTTTTTACTGCTAATTTTCAGCAAGCAAAACCAATTTTCATTAACTATAATAACACTCAGATTATCTTCTAGTTCAATGCATTAGTCAACTTATTTTTGTAAAGGAGAAACCATTAGTTAAAATACAAAATAATAAACTAATTACAGAGCTCTAGTAGATTGTGACTCACACCTGGTTTAAATGTATCCTGATCACTGATCACTTTTTACATTTTATTTATTTTATCCTATAAGGGGTTTGAGGTCTTTTATTAATGTGGTCAAATAAATAGAGGAGAAAGCTTGGAAAAAAATAGGAGATGGAAATGGGAAAAAAAACAATGAATTGGAAAAGGTAGACCAAACTAAGAAAAGAGAACACAGGCCTCCTTTTTTTTCCTAAACTTAAGAATTTGAGAAATGTTGGATTATTGATTTATATCCAGGAGTTGAATTTCCTCGTTCACTTCAAGATGCTCTGGTTTATTCAGTAATATATTATTTTTTGAAGTTAAAATAATGGAACTCCAAAGGACCATGAAATGGAAAAAAGAAAACAAGAAACTATAAGAAAAGAATAAGAAAGCAACAAAGGAAACAAGAATCAAATTAAAATGTTTTGAGGTAAGAGTGGTAAAACACTGGGAAAAAAGACAGAATTCATGCATATTTCTACAAATTGTACTGTTCTCCGTAACATCATAAAGTTCCATTATTAAGGAATATTATAATACTTTGACTTGTAGAGGAGAATCAAATTAATTTATTTCTCACGTATAAGTGGTCTTAAGCTGCCACCATAAAAGCTTCTTTTTTGTTTTTCTACTTAAATTCCGAGAAAAGAGCAAACTGAGCCAAAATGAACACAAAAACAATATCAGTCCCAGAATTAAAAATTTAGCTGAGCGTTGATCAATGGCCATTTCCACACCAAGAACCAAGTCACTGGGCCCCCCCAAAAGGTCACACAACCCCCCAAACCACATTCCCCCGTGGGGCAGCTAGAGATTTTGTTTATGGCCTGTTTTGTCTGCTTTGCTTCCACTTTACTTCTTTCTAGACTGTGTGTTTGGTATCTTGGAATAAACTGCAGTCCATCTTTTAAAATTGCTCCCAGGTGTATACTTATTAATGTACTTTAAGAAAAAGAAACAACAACAAAAAAAAACCTTGTGATTTAATATTCCTGAGACATTGATTTTCCTTGAGCACATATCCCTCCCGCACAACAAAATCCCCCACAAAACCCCAAACGTCCCGAAGGTGAGGTCGAGATGGAATTTGCTTTCTGGAAAGTAAAGCTGACGCTAATGCACGGACCTAGGAGGCAGGGAATGGGCCGGTTCTAGACTGGCCCCGGGGGAGGCAGGGAGCGCGGCGGGCGGAGGGGAGCCGGGGACGCGAGGCAGCGCCCGCCCCCGCGCGGATGCTCGCGGCGAGAGCCTAGGACGGCGAGCCTTCACAGGGGAGCACGCAGGGGGCCAGGGGCGAGGAAAAGGAAGGCGCCGAGACGGGCGGTGTCCAGGACTGGGAGAAGGCGGCGAGTGCCCAGCGCGGGGACGCCCAGAGCTCCTCCCACAGACGCCTCCTCAGAGTTGAAGGCTGGGTGCTCTCAGAGGGGCGACCGCTAGTGCCCGTCCATCCCTTCCCACCCCATCGTCGTGTAGGGGAGAACTCGCCGCGCCTCCAGCCCAGGGTGATTTTCCCTCAGGCGGGGGCCTCGGGGCTCGCGCCGGTGGGAATACAGGCAGGACGCATGCGGGGATGCGAGGTGCCGCGGACCCTATCACTCAGCCGGCTTTCAGCCACCAGGTCCCGCCCGACCCCTCGGGCTAAGCCCTACTTTTAGCGTGGGATGTGAGGCGAAGTACGACCGAGCCAAGGATGCAAGGAGCCCTGGCCGCGTCAGCGCGTAGGACCTGAGGCGCCTTGTTCCCAGAAGGGCGGGGCGTCAGCTACTGCGGGGTGGAACAGGCAAAGGACCAGGGCTGGACAAATGGGCGGAGTGGCAGCGAATGGGCAGGGCGAAGGCGGAGATAGGGGCGGGGCATGGGCAGCGCAGGGCTAGAGGCGGGGCTTCAGGGGCTGGGGTGGGCCCTCGGAGGAGGATGCGACTTAGGGCGGGGCAGTGGGCCAAGAATGGGCAGGGCGAGGCACTTTGACTTTAAATCTCTGGCGCAGGGGGATGACAGGGGTGGGGCCCAGACCCTGCAGAATAACTGCGAAAGGTGGAAACGTCTGATCCCTCTCCCTGATCTCTGAACATCCCTAGGATGGAGTCGCACCTCTTCCACTTACTAGCTAAGGAGGCGGGGTCCTCTGGAGAAGTTATGTAATCCCTAGAACCCCAGTTTTTCCTCATCTGAAAACTAAAAATGATGATAATAAATATATCTGTGCCCTACGTATAGTAAAATATATGACGCTTGTAAAGAGCCTAGCAATAATAAATGCTTAATAATTATTAGCTATTATTACTGTTGTTATTAAAAAGATTATTCACATTGACGCACCCTCTGGGGAGAGAATATATATTTCTAACTTGAATATCACAGCTTTCAATAGCCAAAGCCAATTGCTAGAACGTAAGAAAAATCATACTAGAGCATCAGGATGCAGGATTGGTTTCCTCCCTTGCGCTTCATAGTAAACACTAATAAATCTTGAACCAGCATGGCATCTAATAGATAGGTTATTGATAAGGTCTCAGGCTCCTTGCTGATAGGTTGTCTCGTTCACTCTTCAAACGCCCTCACAAGGTAGTGCCTCTTTTGCAATGAGGACATGGGCCAGAGAGGAGAAGCAACTCGTGGAGGGTTACATAGTTGGGAATGGTAGAGACAGCACTGAGACTCAGGGTTAGCGCCCATTTCCCATTTCCCCACTTCAGGGAACAGTGTCACAGCAACCACTCAAGCGGGTATCTGAGAGACAGCCTTGACGCTAACCTAATGTCAACCCATCAGCGAACCCATTACTCCACCCTCAAATATGACTTTATTCACTTCTTGCTAAATCTATTCACTCAACCTGCTCTCTGCTACTGCTCTCCTGAAAAAGCTCCAACAGTTCCCTTGGCAGTCTCCTTTCATGTCACTTGTCTCCCTTCAGCCCATTGTCCACGCTGAAGCCACAGGGGTCTTTGCATAAATCAAATCACATTACTCCCTGACCTCCCCCTTTTAAGCCCTTTAAGTTTTCCTGTTGCTCTTAGAACCAAACCCAAACTCCCTCCTAACAACTACGAGGTCTTGCATGGTCACCATATACTTAGTATTATAGCTTCATTTCAGGTAGTGGATGTACCTTCACAATAATCGCTCTTCAGTTTCAGGGCCCTTACTTGCATTGGCCCCTCTGAGGGCCTGAAGGAAACATAGCCTGTGTTCATTTGGGCATATGTAAATGTGGCAGAAGATAGATATTTAACTGTAAACCTAAAAGATCAATATCACTTTCAACTCCCATTCTCCCTATCAGGCTATATTGGAGGTGGCAAGGGAAGACCTAAGGATGCAGCCAAGGCAGAACTGAGTTAGGTATACATTTCATTTAGGTTCAGAGATATTTTGGACTGAATGTGCCCCCCCCCCAAAAAAAACAACCTTATATGTTGAAATCCTAACCCCCCAATGTGATGGAATCAGGAGGTGGCCTTTGCAAGGTGATTAGACCATCAGAGTGGAGCCCTTTTGAATGGAATTAGTACCCTTATAAAAGAGACCCCTGAAAGCCCCTTGCTGCTTCTCTCCCGTGAGGACAAAGCAGTAAAGAGCTGTCTGTGAACCAGAAAACAGGTTCTCACCAGACACTGAACATGCTAGCACCTTGATCCTGGACTTTCCAGCCTCAGAACTGTGAGAAAGAAGCATTTGTTGCTCAAGCCATCCAGTCTACGGTAGTTTGCTATAGCAGCCCGAAAGACCAAGACAAGAGGGACCCATTTAAACGGTTCACAGATACTTTCATCTGTAGTAATATCATTGCTATTCCACTCAATGTAGAAATTACTGCCCACAGTGCCGTCTCACCCTACACTGTGACAGGAAGGTACAGGGCCATACTTTGTATTAGTGCCTAGCATCACGCGTATGTATGTAGTGGGATGGAAACAGGATTTGAAATATGCAGAGCCAGAAGCTAGTCTATGGAAAATTCTCCCAATCATCAGACATATTAAACAGTAAGCAGAGAATTTGTTTCTCAGTAAAGCTAAGTTAAAGCAGAAGTTCCTTCCTATCAGAAATATATATGGCAGTGCAGCATATACAATTAAAGTGCCCTGCACTTTTTTCTTCCTTTATAATAGGAATTGCACAAACTAGGGAAATCAGAGGCCTGTGTTTGTAGGCCATGTGGCAAATATGTGACAGTACAATAAACAGCTAGTGGAAAGTTGCTGTTTTACAATCACATTCAATTGGGTCATTCTTGTCATTTCTGCCCTAGTGATGTCTGGTGTTTACAGACGAAATGACCTGCTGATCATATTCATAACTTTCAAATCAGCGTTATGAATAGACTTAGATTGTTGGATAATCTAATTCAATGATTTTCAACCTTTTCATCACATGGCACACATACGCTAATTACTAAAATTCTACAGCCCACCAAAAAAAATATTTTTCACCGATCTGACAAAAAAAAATCATTCATTCATTGGATTCATTCACAGCAGACAGCTATTGTTGTGTTAGCTATTGTCATTTTTTAATTTGACAATCTAAGGGAAAAGAAGTCAGTGCCCCTGACTAAATTGTCAGGTATTGCATGTTTTAAAAATTCTTGTGGCACACCAGTGTGTCTGCTTCAGCACAACGGTTGAAAATTGCTGATCTAATTAATTAAAAGAAGTAAATTATATAAATACATTGGGAAAAAATTTAAATTTCTCACTTATTTGACATGAAATACTGACACGGATGAAGATTTAACAGTTTTGGGAGGAACTGACAAATAAACTGGTCAATGTGCTATCACCTCAAAGAGTGCTTAAAAATAGTCACTATACCTGAAGACTTGCAGCTTATATACAAGAAAAAACTTACAGGCTTTCCCAAATTTGACAGTAATCTTAAAAATTATCATGGCATCAAGTTTTACAACTTAAAGGAAATTGTTTAAACTGTTCACAAAAAAGTTAATCTTGTAAAGACTGAATTATTTTCTTTTTATCTTTATAGAAAGACAACAAAAATAATTGCCTTATGACTAGATGACCACACAATATATAGCAAAAGTGTATAAGAAAAATTATTATAGAAGAGCTATATCATGCAGCTAATAAAAATATGTTATGTCTCTAGATTATATGATGCTGTGATATTTGTCAGCTTTTAAACTTTTGTAATTTGTTATTTCTTCTGTCATTCTACAAAAATTTCCTCTCTAACTGAGTTCTATATTTATGACATTTATTCTTCTCCTTTAAGAAAAGAACATTCTAAATTTTAAAAGCTTCAAATCCCATTAAACCTGGTTCTGTCCTTGCCCAACCCTGGGGTTTTTTGTTTTTTTGTTTTTTCCCCTGTGCTCTAGCCATATTGGAATCCCTCTGTGTGCACTGCTTAGGAAAGTGCCTGGCACATAAGTAATATCAGAAAAATATTTGTAGATGAATGAATGAATGACTTAGAAACTAGAATGCTAAAGACATGAAAACATGAATTTTGTCTGTTATTCATTGCTACATTCCCATATGCAGCATAGTGGCTGGCATATGGCTGGTGAACAAAAGTATTTTTAAAAATGAATCCAGGCCTATTCAACTGCAGACAATGCTCTTCCCGTTGCTTCTGGTTATTCCCAGTTTACAAGGCGTTTTCCCAAGATACTCTTCACAGATCTGAGAGATACCATTTTCATATTAGAGTTCAGGTTAAATGGAGGCTCAGAGGAGAAGTGACTTGCCCCAGGTAATTCAGGGGCAGAGCTGAAATTCAAACCCGGATCTCAAGGGCCAGAAAGCCTTATCCTCCTCGGCATTCTCAGTAAGATGTCCCACAGTAAGAAAATAGGTGGTGAAGGAGCCCCTCCTACAACGAGAAGCAGGCGGGTTCCCGGAAGAATTACTGTGCATGGACAGTAGGTGGCGCCCATCCACAGAGTACTTACCCTAGTCTGATACCACTTGGTTAAGTAAGGTACACAAAAATATTTGTCAAAAACCAAACTTTGAACCGCCAGCTTAATTTCTTCTCAACTGTCCTGTTTTTGCTTCTTTGGCCATTGCTCTTTAGGCATGAATAGGAAAACTTATTCTTTCCCTTCTGATTAAGAAAAAACCCAGCTCTCCACCTCCTGTGTGTTTCTCCTCTATTTTTACACAGAACACTTCATTTCTGACACTTCTGGTCACGAAATGTGTGGGTGTTTTTCTCCACACCAAGAAAACAGCTGAGTGTCCTACAATTTAACACAATTCTGACACTATCTACCTGGAGATCCCACAGCTTAAGGGTTCAGTCCCACAAGACTGTTCCTGCCCCACTTCAGATGCCAATCAAAAGTAGTGGGTCCCCAGGTTACCTACAACTTCTGTCCAACTTGGCTACAAACGGAGGTTCCCATGACCCCCTTCTTGGTTCAGTTAATTTGCTAGGATGGCTCAGAGGACTCAGGGAAACCCTTTCTTACCTTTACAAGTTTATTAAAGGATACAGATGAACAGCCACGTAAGGAGATCCATAAGACAAAGACTGGGAGAGGTCTCCAGTGCAGAGGAACATCTACACCCTCCTGGTATGTGAATGTGTTTCCCAAATGGGAAGCTCTCCAATTCCCTCCTTTTGGGATTTTATGAAGACTTCCTCTGCAGGCATGAACAATTACTACCTCCAGCCCCTCTCTTCTCTCTGAAAGATGAGGGATGGGGCTGAAAATTCCAGGCTCCTAATCATGACTTGGTCTTCCTGGTGACCAGCCCTTATCCAGGAGCCACCCAGGAGCCCACCTAGAGTCAGTGTCACTTAGGAATTTACAAGGGTTTCAGGAGCTCCATGTCATGGTCAAAGACAAATATTAGAACAAGCGATGTTCCTAGTGCTCCGACAGGACGAGGAGCTGGTCTGTTGAGAGAGAACAGAGCATGTGTCTGACACCCTGGAGTTCACCAGACTCTCCCTCTGTTCCCCGCATGTCCCAGCTGCCTCCTGGGACAGACCACATGACTTATTCTAGCCAATGGGCTATGGGAGGAAGAAAAATATGTCACATCCTGACTAACGTGTGAAAGAGCCTGTGAGTGAATCTCCAAATGTGTCTTCCTTGCTGTGGCATCTGGTGAATGCCCACAGGGTCGGGGACTGAGAGGCTTGAGAAGGGGGTGCTGGCTGGTGCCATGGGGAGGAGCTGCTGCTGTGAGATGAAGAAGTGCTGCTGGGTGGTGCTCATAGGAACAGGAAGCTACAGAGAACGAAGATGAAGAATCAAGTTCTTTCTCCCTCCTCCAGCCCCAGGGTGTCCCTCTAGCCTTAAAGTGATGATCAGCAACATCTAACAAACTCTCACCTGGAGCACCGGTTACACAGAAATGTGGTTCATGGGGCCCCAGCCTCAGCATCACAGTACAGGTGGTTGTTTTTTTAGTATTTATTTTTAATTGTGATAAAATATAACATAACGTAAATGTTACCATTTTAACATTTTTAAGCGTATAGTTCAGTGGCATCTACTGCATGCACATTGCTATGCCACCATCACCAACATCCCTCCCCAGAACTTTTTTCATCTTGCAAAACTGAAACTCTGTGCCCACTAAACAACGACTTCCCACTCCCCACTCCCCAAACCCGTGGCAGCCACCATTCTACTTTGTGCCTGTATGGATTTGACTACCCTAGGCATCTCATATAAACAGAATCATATTTGTTCTTTTGTGACTGGCTGGCTTTTTTTACTTAGCATAATGTCTTCAAAGTTCATCCATGTTGTAGCAAGTGACAGAATTTCCTTCCTTTTTGAGGCTGAATGAAATTCCCATTTATGTGTATATCATATTTTGTTTATCCATTCAGCTGTCAATAGACAGGGAAATATTTATTTTTAATTTTTATTTATTGATTTTATAGAGAGAGAGGAAGGGGGATGAGAGAGAGAGAGATTGAGATCAATTTGTTGTTCCATTTATTTATGCATTCATTGGTTGATTCTTGTGTGTGCCCTAACTGGGTATTGAACCCATAACCTTGGCATATCGGGAAAATGCTCCAACCAACTGAGCTCCCTGGCCAGGGTCAGAAAAGTATTTTTATATTATCAAATATGATATAAAAAAATCCCAGATTAGTCTGACTATAAACATTGTACATATTATGCAGCACCCCTTACTTTGTTTCTATATGCAATGGGTTTACTTTTTCAAAGCCACAAAAATAATATTATAACAACATGCAAGTCAATCAAAAATAAAAAGGCCTACCAACAATCAGACCATCTAAACCACAGGACTTTGTATTTTTTACCTCTTCCATTTTAAAGTCTGTCTTATAGGCAGATAAAATTTTTCAGTTATACCACAGCACCCCATGCAGCTCAGTGTTCTGCCACATCATACACCTTGCTGTCTGCTGGTACAGGGTCGTTATTGCTAACTCTGAATGAGTGAGATGCTATTTGCTTCATCATTTCCCAGCTTTGCTTCTTTGACCATCTGCATTGTATTCTTCGGGACTGTTCTGGGTGCAAATGAGGAAAACCCCACTCAAAAAAGCTTAAGCGAAAGGACATAAGTGTGTAATGGTGGTGGAGTTTACTTGTTTCAGTTACTGGAAAGAATGCAGGAATAATTCATAGAACTAGGACTGAAACCAGGAACTAAAAAGAGCAAGCCTATCTCTTGTGTGGCCCTCTCTCTACTTCCCTTTTGAGATTAGCCTCTTTCTTTTCTAGCACAGAGAGGTCTTCCTCACCTGGCAGGGAACGTGGCCACTGACAGCCCCAGCTTTGCAACTGCAGTAGAACAAGTGTCCAGCTCGCAATCCCAGAGAAGGGCTATGATTGGCTAGGTTTTGTCACATGCCAAATCACTGGGCCAATCGACCATGCATTATAATTGGGCAGGCCTGATCACGTGTCCATCCCCTTGGCCAGAGGGTGACAGGGTCTGCTGCTTTCAGATAAAGGGGAATGAGAAGGCCTGCTGGGAAAACCACAAACAACCATCATGTCATTACCCAGGGTTCTGTTTTTCATGGTGGCAAGACTAGATGAACATCCTCACACATTAAGCTCTTTGTTTTAACAATCATTTTTTGAGAAACGTCCAAAGATAGGACTACGTCATGGTGCTTTCCAGAAGCCATGTAAAATACTTGCGTTTTTCAAAGCATGTTCACATTCAATTTTGTGTCTCATCAAAAATGCTGATGAGTGACAGAAAAGGAACTAGTGACTTAGAGAAGTTGAGTGCTAGGTCCAGGGACACTTAGTGGATGAGGGCAGAGGTGAACCTAGAAACTTCCTGATTCCCATTCCAGGGCTTTCCCCCAACAACATCACAAAACTTAGGCTAGTGGTGGGAGGGTTCAATTCCACGGTCACCTCTAGCCAGTTAAGGGAGGGAGCTTCGTCTGCTGTCTACCCCTTGGAGGAGCTGCGCCAGCCTCCTGGATGACACGGGATGGTGGCCCCTGCCTTCGGAGCCTGCTCGAGCTCTGATGGGCGATGTCCCTCCGCTGGACCTGGCATCCTCCCAGTGGGCACTCTCAGAACGGAGCTCCTCCAGGACACTGTGGAGATGCCTCAGTGTGAGCAGGAGCTTCTGGTCTTGGATCTGCATCTCAGCCTAGGGGGGAAATCATCTGTGAGGGGGCAGGCAGAGTACTGGACATTTGCCTAGACAGCCCATTCCCATCACTGTCTCACCAGAGACGAGCCCACAACCTCTCAGAAGCTGGGTCCACCAAAGCCTCAGTTTCTTCTTCTGCAAAGTGGAAAGCAAATTACTTAACCTTTCAAGGCTCTTCCTGTAACCAGCTCAAAATGGTCTTATATTGTTTAATGAGATACTGAGTTGCTTTTCACAAACAACAGGCCAGGACCCCAATCACGAAGGCAAGCGTGGCGCAGAGAGAACTTTAGCCTCCAGCTGCAGCCCGAACCAAAGTTTCACCCCACCCCACCCCCACCCCCACCCCCCATGGAACCAAAGGACCAGGACATAATAGGAACTTGAACACTGGAACCTTTCAGAAGTCACGGATCCGTTGGCCAGGAAGACCGGAAGTTGATGCCCCTTTACCATAAATGGCCAAGTACCAAGGTCCTTCCATTAAAACTCACCCCACCAGCACTTCTGCATACACGTTCCGCTGAGCCCCTTAAAAGCCCTTAACCCAGTCCAGCACGCAAGATGGATTTGAGGCACCACTAGCCTCCCATCCTCTCCGTTGGTGTCGTCTCAGTCAGTACGCCTTTCCTTACCCCAAACCCTGACATTTTGAGTTTTGGCCGTTTGAAGCACTGGGCACACAGACATTGGTCCAGTGACATTATGAAGCCTGAATGAATTGGTTCCCGCTCCGAAATATGACATGCTGCGCTACCACAGCCTGTGATCACCATCATCATCATATCATCATCAGTATTAATATTATTCTTATTTACAACCCCGTTTATAGGCTTTAATCCTCACTGTAACAAATCATTTTATAGCTACTAAGGCGATGGTGACTTCCTAGTAAAGTGAAGTTCACCCTGCAGGCCAACAGAAGCCCCTTAGGCCACTGATTCTCTGTATAAGGTCCAGGGAATCCTTGGACCCCAAAAACCCTGTCAGGGGGTCCAAGCTACTTTCATTACAATACTAAGATATTATTGTCATTTTCATTTTCATCTTATGAACACACAGTGAAGTTTTCCAGAAGCTATGGGATGTGATATGGCATCAGACTGGATGCAGAGGCAGATCGAATCCAGCTGTGTTCTATTAAGGGCAACACTAAAGAGATTTGCAACATGGGGAAACAGTGCCACTCTTCTCATTAGATATTTTCTTTGAAAAATATGGTTGTTGTTATTATTTTTTAATTCTTACTTGAGGATATGTTTATTAATTTGAGAGAGCGAGAAACGGAGACAGAGAGAAAGAAACTGATGTGAGAGAGAAGCCTCATAGATCAGTTGCCTCCCATAGGTGCCCCAACCAGGGATTGCGCCAGCAACCTGGGCATGTGCCCTGACCAGGACCCGTGACCTTTTGGTACATGAGATGACACTCCAACCAACTGAGGTACCTGGCCAGGGAAAAAATATAATTACTTTAAATAAATTATTTTATCAACATGTAATGAGTTTATTCATGTTATTTTTAAATGCATGAATAAATAAATGTCAAACAGTTCTCAATTTTGATGTCTAATTCAATCAATGTTGATAGCTATAACTCACATAAACAAGAGCTTTTTGGTGTCCTTAATCATTTTAAGAATGCGAAGAGTTCTAAGACCAAAAACTTTGAGAACTGCTGCTTCGAGGCCTTTCAACCCTCCCTCATCACCTCCACTCCTCCCATTTTCCCCGAAGGGTGTTTCCCCCCATATGTTTTCTCTCTTATTCTTCCTCTTGTAAGATGTTAAAATTATTTTTCTGATAGGTAATTCTTATTCATGATGTCAAATTTATAAACTGCAGTGGGTGATGTAGCGTAAAGTCCCCCCACGTCATCCCACTCTATGCGACAACTCAGTCTCCTCCCCCAGAGGGGACGGCAGGGAACAGGTTTCCCTCCTGAGGCTGCCTGAGGCACACACAGCTGGTCAGGCTGTGCATCCTCAGCCCCCCTCTCTCCATTTCTCTCTCCCTAAAAGATCATTACTAACATTATTTCTCTATTAAAAATAGTCTTTTCAATTTTACTTTCATGACTAATTACTTTACAAACAAGAAGGTAAAGCCCATTTCCTCCACTTCAGCAGTAGTAATGCCACCAAGAGAGTAGATAGTGAGAAAGAGGACACTTGAAGGGGACCATTCCCGAGGACGCAGGGATTTCTCCAGTGGCACCTCAGGTGGTAGCAGGGCCACCCCTTCCAAATTCCTGGGAAAATGTTAAGTCTGTGTTTTTTCAATTTTAGAGTTTTCCCCCCACACTTTTCTTTTGCTCTGTCCAGCCTTTAGCACCAGGTCTGGGTATGTGTTCATGAGAACACAGTGGGAGCAGAGTTAAGGGAGATGGTGGACTCCATGTCCTCGGCTTTGAGGGCCAAAAATCCAGGCTAAACTGGCTTCAACAGTAGGGAAGGGTCCCGCCTCACAAGGCAAGAGGTGCTGTGCTAAGGCGGGCTCTGGGCTTTGTTTGCTGGGGCTTTGCAGTGTGCAGCTCCATCCTTCTGAACGAATGCCACTTAGTCATCTGGCTCGTGTGCCTTGTTGTCACAGATGGCTGCAGCTCTCTCCCCTCTTTTATTTCATTTATTTTTTCATTGAATTTATTGGGGTGACATTGGTTCCCAAAACCAAAAAGGTTTCAAGTGCACAACTCAAGGAAACATCATCTGCACACTGCATCATGCTCATGTGGCCCCAAGCAAAGTCTCTTCCTGTCCCCATTTCCCCCACTCTGCTCTCTTCCACCTACCCCACCCTCTTTCCCTCTGGCTATCACCGCACTGTTGTCTGTGTCTCTGTGTTATATATGTTTCTTGGTTAATCCCTTCACCTTCTTTCATCCAGCTCCCCAACCTCCCTTCCCTCTGACAGCTATCAGTCTGTTCCATTTATCCATGACTCTGTTTCTATTTTGTTCATCAGTTTATTCTGTTCATTAGATTCCACATATAAGTGAAATCATATGGTATTTGTCTTTCTCTGAATGGCTTATTTCATTTAGCATAATAATCTCCAGGTCCATCCATGCCATTGCAAAAGGTAAGATTTCCTTCTTTTTTATGGCCAAGTAGTATTCCATTATATAAATGTATCACAGGTTTGTTTGTTTTTTTAATCCCTTCATCTACTGATGGGTATTTGGGCTGTTTCCAGATCTTGAATACTGTAAATAAAGCTGCAATGAACATAGGGGTGCATATACAGGGTCTAGCACAAATAATGCTCCTTTTTTATTCTAAAATCTGTTATTACAAAATCATAAGCATGTAATTCTGTAACATAACAATATCACACTCAAGCACACCATATGACAGTTTAGGTGAAATGTTCAAATCAAAACTATAAATTATTAAACCTATGTTATTACTCTACCAACCACGCTCAGGCAGGTGTTAACTTCTGCCGAACCCTGTATGTTCCATCTTTCAAATGTTTCAGGTTTTTTTATGATATATTCCCAGCAGTGGGATCACTGGGTTGCTCCCCTCTTTTGATCCCACCAGGACTTGGAGGTTTACATGATCCCGGAGAAGGAGGGAGAGCACTGGACTTTGATCCATGGTAGTTGTTGGTATTACTGACTTTTTCCTTCTGCTGCAAAAAGTGACTTTCTAGTGCTGGTCTTTCCCTGGCAGTCAAGTAGGGCTTCTTGGCTGGGCTCCAGAGGGGACCTCATGGAATTATGTGACAGAGGTAAAAGCAGGCTTGACTGGAAAGTTCACAAGTCAGGAGTCAGCAAGAGGAGACTGAAGGCTCCCACCTTTTGGCATCACATGCAGGGAGGTTTCTGGGCCTGGAAGGCTGTGCCCCAGATAGACTCTCCCCACCCTGCTTTGTTCCCTGTCTCTATGGGGTGAGAGAGGTGCTTTATCAGCTGGAAGCTGGCACTCTGGGCGCAGGCACCAGGCAGCCTCAGCATAGGCATCGGGTGTTCAAGGAGCATGAGGAAGACCCACGGGCCAGCCCCTGAGCCTTCCAGCTCCTGCTAACAAGCTCCAGCTCCTGCTGCTGGAGTCCCTGGTCCAGTGAGAAGCCCTATTGCGTCAGCCCCACTCACCTGGGTGAGGACAGGGTTGGATCCCAGTTGATCTGTTGCGTGGCAATCCAGAAAGATCACTTTTAGACAATCCTGCCTGTCCTTCCTGAGAAATAGAATCTGGCGAGTTGGGATATAAACTTTGGGTGCCTTCTGAGGTTCCTTGAACCACCTCCCTCTTGCTTTTAGCTAGTATCCCCCACACACTTTGGGATACCCTTCTAACTCTGAACTTGAGGAAAACACCACAGGGAGAGGCATAAGGCCTAACATCCAGAGCAGACACCCAGAGACCAAGAAACAGAACTCAGGAGAGTTAGTGCTCCCTGGGTGGGCCTTCGCCATCAAGCGATGGGAGACAGGAGTGAGCTGGGCAGACACATTTCCTCTTCGTTCTCTCTCCCCAAGGGTGCAGCTCCTCCTTCAACCCCTACAGGGAAATCCCGCAGCCAGATAAACCAGCTGTTGAAAGATCCATCCTCTGGGGCTCCTTAAGACAGCTTGGTAACACAGTGCATGTCTCGCCTCCCATAGCCTTGGCTTTTGCCTCCACCCCCTTTTTCCCTCACTCCCACTGCTCTGGGCTTGCACCTCCAAATAAATCATTAGTCCCCCAATCTTTGTGCAAGCCTCTGCTTTACTGCAGTCCTGACCCTGCCGGGCGCGGAGGACGCCCAGGCTAAGGCAGCGAGAGTGCTCCACGTCCGCCAGGTCAGGACCGGGATAGCCAACGCAGACATGCCAAGCAGACACTGAGCAAATTATACCATCTCCTCCCCAAATTCTTACAGTAACCCCTGCAGTGTTGATGCCAGGTTATCCCCATCTTATGATAAGGAAACTGAGGCTCGAAGAGGGAAAGCCACTTGCTAGAAGCCACGCAGCCGCAGAGGTGGGCACATACCCAGGACTCAGTATAATTCTAAAACCAGTCTGGCAAGCACTGCCCCCAGAGCCTCCTATGTAGGCCATGACCTACTTATCCCTGTACCTGCGATGGCAACCGTGCACTGCGTGGCTCATCCCAGAGGGGGGCCTGCAGGGCCTGCACCCCAGCCTGCAGCCTCCGGCCCAGCCTATGGGGCACCTGGGAAAGGGAGACCGAAAGCCTTGGGATATCTGTGGGGGAGGCATCAGGGAAAAAGGAATGCGAAGCCTTACCAGCTCCTTTCTCAGCCACTCCAGGGTCTGCCTGAGATTCGGGGCTGGCTCTTCCGCTGTTTTCATCTCAGTGTCGTGAGGAGACACCTTGACGCTGACCTGGTGATGGGCTTGAGGGACCTTTGACTTACAGTCTCCTGCCTGCTGCGCGCTGGAAGCGGGCTCTGGCCAAGTCACGGAGGACGAAGTTAATGAGATCAGGAAGTGGCTCACGTTGGGAAATGTAGGGTTTGTTTTGTTTTTTTTTTTTTTAAAGGGCGTCAGTGCTCTGAAGAGAAAAAGGAGGGAGGTTTGGAGGGATACCATTGGGATATCAGTGCCTCAGTGCCTGCAAGTTCCAGACTCCAAGATCTGATGTCAGTAGGATCACAGAGGCTATAAAGCTTTATATGATAAAAACAGTAATTGTTATAAGAATAGGTATCCCCTTCTGAGGGCTCTAAGATAAATGTATTTAAAATCTCTCTCTATAAAATATATATCTCTATTATTTATATCTAAAGCCTCCTTTGTTATATATTATATAATATGTATTATATATAACAACATATTTTGTTATATACGCGTGTGTGTGTGTTCATTTGGGGCAAATACCCCATCTATTCCACCTGTGTCCCCGATCCCCCCTCCCTTCCTCACCTATCCATAGAGTCTAGATAAAGGGAAATGCTCACTGTCCAAGCCCCCTGGCTTCTGGGATGCCCAGGTGTCCCATTTCTGGCAAATGAGATCAAAACAGAAATTTATTGTTGTCAGACCTGTAAGAAAACTTTTACCTACCTGATAAAAGGAAAAATGTCAGTGATGCTCCACCTTTCTTGCTCCCTTCTTCCCCATCCTTCTGCCTTGAATGTGGATGTGATGCCTGGAGCTACAGTAACCACCTTGCAACCCTAAGGCGAAGGCCAAGAAAATTGCATAGGCATTTGAAATCCCTGCCTCACAGGATCACCAAGAGCATTTGCCTGTTTTTTGAGACAATAAACCTCATTTTTATTTTATTTATTTTTTTAAAGATTTTGTTTATTTATTTTTAGAGAGAGGAAAGAAGGGAGAAAGAGAGGGAGAGAAACATCAATGTGTGGTTGTGTCTTGCATACCTCCTACCGGGAACCAGGCCTGCAACCCAGGCATGTGCCCTGCCCTAGGAATCGAACCAGTGACCCTTTGGTTCACAGGCTGGTGCTCAGTCCACTGAGCCACACAAGCCAGGGCCACTAAGCCTCATTTTTAATTGGGCAGACACAGTCCTAACTGGCATACCATTTATTCTTCACATCAGACTATGAAGTGGATATCCTTTAATTCTCTTTCAACAAACACTTATTGAGTGCCTACTGTGTGCCAAGTTCTGCTGTAGGCACCGGGGATATAGCTCAAAGTTCGGGAGAGTAAGGTTCAGCTTTCCCAGAGCAGGCATCAGAGTGGACAAAAACAAAACAATAATCAAATTAATATTATGATGAAAATATACAGGACTGATTCTCATGTAGTTTTTTTATTCTGTCCAAATGAGCTAGGTAGGAACCCCAAACTAAAATTAATGTAGTGATCCCAGATAAAGAACTGAGGGGACTCGCAAAACAAACTCGAACCATTTTGAAGGGACTGCCCTCAACCCAGGCTACACGAGCTTTGCAGAGATAAAACTCCCCTGAAGATGAGCTCATAATCCAAAACTACAAAACACACAAGGACGCAATCCACTGTAAGTGGGAGTCAGCAGACACATTCAACAGCAGAATCAGACCCCTCCTCTCCTAAGAACTTCAAATGAAGATAAATAAGTACTTGAAAAGAATTAACATCATTCAAGAAGGAACCAAAAACATAAGAATAAAGACACTATTTTAAAAAGGCAGCTTGGAGAGATTGGTGGGTGCCAGAGGTGGGGTGGGGGCGGCAAAATGGGTGAAGGGAGACAAAAGATACAAACTTAGTTACAAAATAAATAAGTAAATATATAGCAAGGTGACTATAATGAACAATACTGTGTTGTATATTTGAAGTTGCTAAGTGAGTAAATCTTAAAAGTTCTCATCACAAGAAACAAATATTCTATAACTACGTATCGTGATGGATGTTAACTAGACTTATTGTGGTGATCATTTTGCAGTACACGGAAATATCAAATCTTTCTGTTGTACACCTGCAACGAATATAGTGTTGCATGTCAATTATACCTCAATGAAAAGGCAGACTTGAAAAAGAAAGAAATAGGATTTATAGAAGTAAAAATTATAGCGAATGTTTATGAATTAAAGAAAAAAGCGCACATTCAGTGTAGCTCTGGAATACCGAGCTAGGGCAGTGGGTACAGGACATAGGGAGGCAGATTGGGACTCCGTAGGAGGAAAGTGTTGCTTGGAATTCTTCCGAGCAGTGGGCACTCAGTGGAGCATGGAAGCACAGCCCGGTCGATGAGGGAGGCCGCTCAGCAGTGGGGCCTGGGGCTCCTTCCAAGTGTGGGATGGGTGGGGCTGAAAGGTGTGCTGGGTAGGGAGCCAGGACACTTGGGTTCTAACCTGGCTCTACCACACTTACTATGTGAACTTAGGCCTCATCCTTTCTGTCTTTGGCATAATGAGGCTCAAAAGAGTTACTAAATTGAGTTGTAAGAAATGTCACATTTCTTGTTCACTAGGGTTTATAGCCTGAGATGCATTCTGACAACCACATGCAGAGAAAATTCTACATGCAATTTCTCCTTGTCCAGCTGTCACTTTTTTTTTCAAAATTTCTTTCTTTTTTTTGTCCTCACCTGAGGATACGTTTTAAATTGCTTTTTAGATAAAGAGGTCTGGAGAGGATAGAGAGAGAGAGCAAGAGAAACATTGACTGATGGCCCTGACCAGGGATTGAATCCGCAATCCGGGCATGTGCCCTGACTCGGAATCAAACCCACAACGTCTCGGTCTATGGGACGATGCTCCAACCAACTGAGCCTCACCGGCCAGGGCCAGCTGTCACCCTTTAGAACCAAAGAGGACCTGAGAAACTCTTGCCTGCCACATTCATACCCCTTCAGAAAACAGGGGACAGAAATTATTTCTTCTCAGCAGGTCCCCAGGCTTCGCATCACATGACCTTGTAATGCCCCGGATCAGAGATGGGTGCCCCTGCCCAAGGCAGCCATCTAAGCCATCTACAGACTGTGCAGGAAGGAGGTCCTCGGCTTGCAGGTGACTGGTGTGAAAGGAACTGTGTTCCGGGTCGTGACCAAATGACCCAATCGGATCTCCTCTTGGAGAACGTGCATTTGCCACAGATACAGAGGTTGGACTGCCAGAAAGACACTGTGTAACAAACCTCTCCACAACTCCCGACTTTCAAACAATTGTTTATCTTTGCTTTTGAGTTTGTGGGCTGGCAGGGATGGTCTGCGTCAGGCTTCCGATCTGCGGATCTGAGCCTCTTCGCGGGTCTCTCGTCCTTCTGGCACCGCTGGGCCACTTGGGGCTGCTCTTCCCTTCCCAACGGCAAAGGATAAGAGAGCGAGGGGAACCGCATGAGGCGTCTTAAGGCCTATGCTCAGAACTGCCACAGCGTCACTTTCACACATCCCATTGGCCATGTGACATCCCAAAGCGAGTCACGTGGCCAAGCCCCAAGTTAAGGGGCAAGGATGTACACCCCACCTAGGAAGAGGTCACGTCAAGTGTATGGAGATGGGGAAGAAGTGAACCAACAATTCTGCATCAGGGAGGAAGTTAGTTCAGACGTGGGGCCTCAGGCCTGGAGGGGCCCAGAGGGAAGGAGGCAAGCAGAAACCAGCAGGTGGCCGGAGCTGGAGACAGGAAGTATGGCTGCGCAGGCAGTGGCCGGAGACCCAAAAAGAACTAGAGCCTTGAAGGATAATGTGGGACAACCAACATTTATTCATCTCCTACTCCAGACCAGGTATCACGCTAAGCCCTTGCCATACATAACTTCTTTTCCTCTTCAAAACCGTATGGCTGCAGTTCCCGAACCGAGTGCTAAGGCAGCCTGAGGCATGCAGAAATCTCACAGAGGTACTGCAAAATACTTTAAAATGTTGAGGGAAACACAATAACGTTTGTTGGGTACTGTGCAAACTACAGTTAGTCAGTTGTTTAAAACTAATTGCTTAATAAATGTTAGGTATTTCTTTGGGCCTGGGGTACTGTGAATAAAAATTGCTGAGATGCTAAGGGAGCTGTGAACTGAGAAAGTTTAGGAACCTCTGGCTATGAGGGAGCTACCATTGTTACCTGCATTTTATAGTTGATTTCAAATAGATCCTATTAGTAGCCCCTTTTTACAGATGAGGAAGCTGATACTCAAAGAGGCATGGATTGTTGTAAGATCTCCCCCGCAGGTAAACAACAGGGATAGAATTAAAATCTGTTCTCCCTGACCTATGTGGAAGGTCTTGCCTGTTGTCTTGAAGTGATGGAGAGCCAAGCAGGGGCCCAAGCCAGGCCATCTGCTGACCTCGTGGGCAGGCCCAGCAGGCTCTCTGCCCAACACAGTAGCGGGGCTGACAGGAGTGTGTGGCAGTTAGAGTCTGGCGCTCTGTCCTTGGCCTCCAGGGCTGACACCTCATTACCCTGCAAAACCATTTCTCATGATTAACTTGTTTTGATAGACTTTCATTTATTTTTAATCCCACTCTTAGGATTCTGGCTCAGAGCACATTTTACTTCACAGGCTCAGAAAGGCTTGGCACATGAGGATAAGGGACAAGGGAAGGTGGAGCCAGGAGGCCTGAAAAGGGTAGGAACTTAAACTCTGAGTAAGGAAAAACGTCTTCACCAAATACAAAAACCAGAATCACCATCCATTCATCATCCTTGGGCAGCTAATAATATGGCTTCCAAGCGTCACACCCTGTACTGGCTGCTGGGGCACAGCGGTGAGCGACAAAGGCCTTACACATTCTACGTAAGAGGATCCATTGACAGTCGAGTGGTTCACAAATTGTACTTTATACCACAAGCCTGGCACATATTAGAATGAATATATGAATGAACGAATGAATGAATTTACAAATGAAGAAACTATGGCTCAGGTGGAGATATGGGTTGCCCAAGCAATTCAGCAGCTGTGACAAAAATAGGCTGTCCTTCCATATCCCTTCTCCTTGTCACTCATGGCAAAAGACTACATTCCCAGTCTCCCTTGCAGGTGAGCGTGGCCCTGTGATTAAAT